AAGTGAAAAGGTAAACTGAATTGAACAGATAAGACAATAACTTAAGTAACACTGCAATAACAACTGATATGTCATTCTACTTAGATTAGTCTTTCTCCGAATCTTGAATTTAGTGTCTGACAAAACACGATATAATTTATGGAAGACAAGTCTTATACATAATAGATTTGAATTATGACTTTTTTTGATAGCAATATTTAATTGTATTTACATGAAGGAATTGCATGGGAAAGTGAGATGCAAGTAGAGGATTGCAAAACACTAATTTATGAACTGTTGTTTCAAAAAAATAAATAATTTATTTTTGATCATCTTCATTCAGAACGCACACTGTTATTAGCTTCATGTTGAATGAATATTTTCAATTCTTGAAGTTGAATAATTAGCTGTTCTTGAATGAAACGAAAAACATTGACTTTGAATAACTGACTGAACAATAATCATACAATTGTGATGAAAATTCAATAAAAAAAAAAACAATATATGAACTACGTCAAAACATTATCCTGTATTACATGTTCTTTTTTTTCATTTTGAGTTTATTTATTGAGAAAAAAATTCAATAATATGTTCAATAAATTAGCATTAATCATGCACACACAATAGATATGTATTCATTATTTATTAGAAAATCTATGCCATCATCGCTACTAAAGTGATGAGACAAAATATCCACGACCAATTAGCAAACAATGCTGCACTCGCTATAAAATAGGTCCTCGAACGTTGCCAGATCTAAAAAGAAATTTACGTAATCACAGTATTTTTTTTCACTGTTTGGTGGTTTTAACGAGTCGACTGTTAAAGTCGCGATCAAAAAGTACTGTATTTCTAATAGGATTTAATGATTTTTTCGAAGTGATACGTTTATTCGAATTTCTATCAGAACTTCCTTATGAAAATACTTATACAATCAATCAAATCGATGATTTAACGATTACCGGCTTGCTTTTCAAATGATTGCCGATAACGTATAACCAATAACCAACTTCAAAAGTAGTGAGCCAAGTGAATAGAAGATATGTACTGACAGTAAATTTAGCGAACCATTTTTTTTGATACTATGGACACATAGATGGTTGATCTTTTACAATAAATGCTAATGCTCAAAAAAGGACTACCTAACAATCATTAGGTTTACGTCTTGTGCAATAGTATTCAATGATCGTGAAAATCTTCAGTTCAGATTTGTTTGATAGTCACTTATATGGCCAGCTATTGACGAATAAAAAGCCAAGAAACCCAATACCTATTAGAAAGTAAGAGTCAAGTATTTGATATCGGTAAAGAACAGCCTAGATTTCAATCAAAAATAAAACAGATATTTTATAACTAAAAATATCATCTTTAAAGACTTTCGTACATTTGTAGATATTGTGTATAATAACATTTCATACCGAATGTGAAGATTTCAGATGCAGCTACATAGGCAAAGATCCAAAGAGCAATTGTTTCGAATATTCTTTTGTATGATAGCTGATTCTAAAATTAAAAGGTCTGTTTTTTGAATCATCCACATATAAACATGAAACTTTAGATAAACTGATTCAATATTGAACATATTTTAACATAATTAGAAAAGAAAAAAAATGAATCGATATCGTGCATATTGTCGTTCAACCGAATTTGCCCGACGATTGCCCTCATAACAAAGGCAGCAACAATTGTTTGTTGGAACACGTCAATGTATGAGTTGACTTATCGTTCTATTCGGAAAAAAATTTAATATCTGTGTTACTTTTTGACTAAACGTACTATCTGTTTTGCCTATGAGAAAGAAGTATACACAGTGCATTTGTATTAAAAAAGATCTGCTAACTTGCATAGAAAAAACCTGTATTCTTCCATTTTGAAGAACACCATAGGAATAAGGAAAACTACTTTTCTAAAATAAGCAAGAATTTCTATTGTTTTTTTGTTTCTCATCAATAAATTAGTGTCCCTGCTATTGGTTGAGACAGACTTTGGTAATGTTCAAACACAAGAATCAGCATATTGCCTAATATTGAGCAAAACAAAAGAAAGACAAAATAAGATCATATGATCGTTATTTTTTTTTCAATAGTTTTCAGGACTAAAATTATTTATAGAAGCCCATAATGATAATTCAACACCGTTCTAGTCAGCACAGCTCTAATGAACACGTATCTATAGTTTACTGTTAACTGTTGATCAGTATAATCAAACAGGCAACTATTCATGGTTTGCTGCACTAAAATATTTTGAATATAAATCGAATCAATAAGTTGATGTCACAGTCATGAAGAACAACATTATGAAGAACATGATTAATATTAGGAATATTTGATTTTTTGACGAAGAAGGAGCTTTCTTAGTGTTAGAACTTTTTCTGAACGCTTTCTAATGCACTGATTTTGTGATATTCACATATATATTTTCGAAGAAAATAGTTAATGTAAGTTGAAATCGAATTTTTATGGCCCATCCCTTACTGCACTTACCATTAAAGACCATAGTAATCTCTCATTCCTTCCTCTAAATACAGCTTCCTATTACAGACCGTTACAAACATGATGTCTGTCAGTGTGGAAGTTAAAATTGTTGAATTATAAATGATCAACTGTTCGGTAAAAAAGTTAATTGAGTTACAACTAGCAATCATTTTAACTTGATTAACTTCTTTTGAAATTTCCATCATTCGTCGATATTTCAAAAATTTAATAATTATAGATTATTCTCTAAGAGCTTTTCTACGAACTAGATGTGAAGATTACGATCATTTTTATTTGACATTTATTTATCAAGGTTGCTCAAACCTTCAAACAAAGCTATGTATAACTTTTAGTCATAGTTTTGGTCTTGCATTGTAATTAGAAACAGTTTGATTATAGCAATTAGGAATACAATTGTCAACATTACTCAAGACTTTTTAAGTAAAAAACAAAATAGGATAAAACGTAGGTTAAAATTGATCAAAAGTTTATTCTTGAAATCGATCTATAGTCTTTAGGTAATTATCATAGTTAAGATAAACATAAGAAGTCAAAATTCATTAGTTATTCTAATTGATGTCGACTGCAATTGATAAAAACTTGATAAAAAGAATTCATTATGATGGATGTAATTCGAAGTAAATCGATTAAAGATTTTTTTATCTTAGAGAAGTATCTATACCAACACTCGAATTGTGGTGAGACTGTTATTTGAACATATTTTTTATAATTGTTTTATTCTCTTGTGGTTTTAGTTCAATGGATGAGATATTATCGATCTTTTTTGATTTTTATGCAACACAAAAACCTTATTTCAAGAACGAAGTCAATAGATCTTCATGAATCATCTATTATAATAACTTCGTCATAGAAAAAAATAACGACTTGACGAGTTTATTTCTCTTTTTTTTGTGCTTTTCTTCATTATTTTGAAATAAACTGATTTCTCGTCTAACCATATAACATTTATTTTTTTCTTTCCCAAAATATTTATTGATCGTTCATTTATCTGAAAGAAATCATAGAACAAAAAAAAAAGAAACATGCGAAAAAAAGTTCCTACAAAGTGCATCTATAGAACTACTTTTCTTTCTTTTTTCTCCACAAATTCTTTAAATGATTATTCAAGTTCTACATAATATTCATTAAATTTTAATAGCAAGTATATGTCACTAACTGATATGTATATATCATCAATATTATCGACAAGGCCAAGGTCACTAAAATAATTACATCAAAATATTTTGTAATGTTTTTAATTTATTACTTCAATTAAAATACGCACATTATTTTTAATAAGATTGCAATCATAAGATGTTCTCTAATATAAGTAGGAGGGGTGCCTATTCTAATCTTTCAAACAATTTTGTTTATCTTTCTATCATATTCTGCTGTATTATGTTTAATTTCGAATGTTTTCTTATTTTTTTAATATAAAAAGAAAAGAAATCAAATATTATTTTATTTCAGATTTTGAAATAAGTTTTCAATGCTTAAGAGTAGATATCCATATAACTCTTTGTTTACCTACATTGATAGCCAATGTCAGTAGATTTTACTCAATGAAATCTCAATAATGTCATCTTCATTTTTTTTATATTAACGTAGAGGTGTTATTTATATGACAATTTAATTGATGATGTTTCATCTTGAGACAGAATTAAAAACAATGTAGACGAAACTCAACAAGATTTCTGATATCAAAAACAAAACAAAAAAGAAAAAAATTTCATTGATATAGTTTTTTTTCGAAATTTTCATATAAAAGATATCATGTTTTTCGTTATTTTACAAAAAAAAAATAAAACTAATTGTATTTATTTTATAAGTTTGACATTATTCTCATTAGATGATTTCGGTTATTTCTACAAAATTGAAATCATTATATAAGTTTCTCTTTTTTTTTTCTATATCAGTTTCAATGTATTGACACTATTTTGAAAAACGAGAGTCATCACATTGCTTTGATTACTTCAAAATTACTTTCATCGATGAAATATTTTTGTCATTACGCCCTTGTTTTACCTTTCAGTGATGCTGCATTAGATTTCGATGGTAGTAATAATTACTCATCCATCAACGTCACACAGGATAAAACATAAAAACAAATCATAACCGAATGAATATGTATAGAAATAATTCATATAGTCATATGAGATTTACTCATTGAAACGATAGGTGATGGCGAGAAAGAAAATACACGTGTGATGTATGTTTGACTTTTTTCTTTTTCTGTTCTTGTTGATATATCGATTAATGTTATTGAAAACAAAAACAAATCATATGATCATGTCCACGCTCTTTGCACAAGAAGTTTTTGACATATTGTCAATGGATAAAAATTTCATTTAAGAAGTTTATTAAACGAAATACACTATTACTTTCATATAATATAAGTTAAGCGAGATTAAAGAAAATATTTATTGAAGTATATATTCATATGTAAATATTGTATTGAGATATTCTTTTCCGAATTTATCTTTATAGGAAAGCAAAAAAAAATATATTTATGATTTCAACAGTAAAAAAGACGCATACAAAGATAAATTAGAGATATATTACTGGATACTCCTTCGTAGAATTTTCACTTTTTTCTATTGTTGGATCCTTTGTCTGTTTCTCTTCACTTTTGTCTTTTCCACAAGTCATCAAATCTTTAAACATCTTTTTAATAACAGAGACAATCGAATGACGACCTTCGAAAAGGGGAAAAATGCCAACGATGAAAAATGATATAAATATCCAAATGATTCCCACAACAACCCAACCAGTAAAAAATCGTTTGCTAAAAATATAAGATGTTCCATACATAGGCCATGGCCAAAGTATAATGAAAGCTAAGGTAAGAATAATGGCTGTAACTCGTGCAATATTCAAATTTCTTGTTAATAAATTTACTTCGCGTTCGATTTCTTCTTCAGTCAATTGAGGAATGTTGGGTGAATCTTCATTATCTCGTTTTATTTCTTTCATTGAATTGAAATCATATGGTACTTTATCACGAGCAATTAATGAAAGAATCGGTACGAATACAATAGGACTACACAAAGCAACAACATTTCCAACAAGCATTGGAATATTTGATCCGCTTGTTTCAACAGTAATTGTACCGTATTTAGTTTTAGTTGTGACTAACCATGCAGTGAGTGAACAAGCAAGGCCTAATGGTGGCGAAAGACAGGCTGCCCATTTGCTTTGCCGATTCCATAGTAATGTTAAAGCACCAGGAATGACGGCACTCGAAATGATTATTCCCATTAATAAATATAAATAACCCATACTTATATTTATATAATATAATCCAGTTGACCAAGCACTCATAATAAGACCGAAAATGATGACCGAAACATGTGAGATATAGATAAGTCTTTTGCCAATAGCTTCTTTATTGAAATAGGTTTTGTAAATATCATAGGTGATAATCGAACTTACAGCAATCAATTGAGCAGACATAGCACTTGTGACAGCCATAAAAACCATGATTAAAGTAGCTATCGCTCCAGCTTTTCCAAGTAGAGCTACAGCAGCGGCTGGTAAAGTCAAACCGGCGCTCACATCTGCTGGATTCAATCGATTTGGATAACTAGGAAATGCTGGATTGCTTTCCAGTGCAACAGCAGCCAACCCCATAGTGGTTGCAGCAAGAAATGGAACAGCAAACCATGAGATCCCACCAAGAATGTAGCCAGGCAGAGCAGAAACAGGTGAAGCAGCAATCGCCTTATTATAATATCCATTATCAAGAAAGACAGTTCCAAAATTTCCAATAATATTAATAATAAAAAAGATTGCTCCTTCTTGCGATCGCATAGTTAAATATGATCCTCCAGCATTACCTTAAACAGGATGTACGTGACTAGCATTGACCAATAAATCATAGACTGCTGATGGTGAACCAAGTAAAGGCGATGCTGCATAGGTAGTAAATGCAAAATAAAGAATAATAATGAGAACAGCTACAGTATGTGCATAGTCTGTAAGAAATGTAGCTTTAATTCCTCCAAACATTGTATAAATAATTGTTCCTAATGGTAAAAGAAAACATGCAGCAGCAATATGCATTCCACTAAGAGAATGAACAACAGCTGAACCACCTGTTAATAACATTGATGTAACGAGAATATTTGTACATAAGCAAAAGAAAATATAAACAATATGAACTATTCGACCATATCGAGCATGAATAGCTTCTAGAAATGTGTGTGCAAATGGAGCTCGACGTTTAAGTTCAATGGCGATAACACAAAATAAAATTATTTGTACAGTCGCTCCACTTGCATACCAAAATGGGCCTGAAAGTCCATAGGAATATGCAACTGAACTCGATTGTAAAAGAGTAGCAGCCCATGTCCATGATGAGACGACAGCCGATGCAATTAGACCTGTTTTAACTGTTCGATGAGCTGTCGAGAAACCTTCACTTGAATCTGTTGCTTCACTATGATATCGTTTTAGACAGAAAGTAGCAGCAACCATGCCCATAGCGAAGAGTGCTCCAAAGCCCACGACAATTCCATATCCATCACCTTGTGTCAACGGAAAATTTTTTGATGACATTTAAGTGAAAATAATTCTAATAAAAAAAAAGGTGAATATTATATAGTCCGTTTCATCGTTCTGTAGAACAAACAAAATGTATCACGTTTATTTTTCAGATGGTTTTTTTTTCTGCTTATGACCATGAAGGCAAACGAAAAAAATATAGATATTAGATGGTACGTTTCACTATCCTACGAAACAAACAGAACATGGGATGGTTATGTTTTACTTGACTTTTTTTCACTTGTGATCACGGTCACAATCAATAATATTGGATATTATATAGTGCATTTCACCATCCTGTAGAATAATCAAAACATTTTATGTTTATTTTTTACTTGAGTTTTTTCGCTTGTGATCACGGTATTAATCAACAACAATGAGTATTGTATACTACCTTTGATCGTCCTCTAGAGCAAAAAAATTTGCTGACTCTATTGTTTCCACTTATTTTTTTTATTTATAGTCACGGAAAGAAAAACAAAGAAACATGTGTCAGCTATTTCACTATTATGATTATATTGATAAAGAAATCATGACATGAAATGGTCAATTGCAGTCACAATATTTTTTTTTCTTTATGCTTCTCATTTAGATAACTAACATGAATTATAGAATCATCTGTCAATGTTTGTAATAGGAGGCATTGAATAAAATCATAGAACGATGAAAAAAACGGAATATTACAAAGACCAAAATTCAATGTGAATTCTCCACATTAATCAATTTCAATCTAGATAGTTTTTATCGTTGACTGGTCCATTAACAATAGACTTAAATGAAATTTTAATTTCTCTATGAGATTCAAAAGTACAGAATTCGAAGAATTAATTTAATCGAACAACATGTTTTTTTTTTATATTCAAATGACATAGTTCAAAATATACAATGCTCGATTCTTTCACTACATATATTTATATGAAGATCGGTTGTTTATCCAGATTTCAAGGCTTCATATGATTCTTGCTTAATATAGAATATTAATAAGGTGTCTAAGAATAATTTCGGACTATTTCGTACAGGTATTGGCATGTAGTGAATAGCGATACACTATTCACATGGAGAAATCTTACGAAGATCGTATAAGATCCTTCAAGATCTTACCAACAATCGGATTTCGCAAGGTTCATATTGCATTACCTCACAGAATTACACAAGTATCGTATTGTAAGATTTGATTGCAAATTTAACATCACTCTTGCGAAATTTACCAATCGTAATCCTATGAAATATTGGATAATCTTTTAAAATCCTAGTTGAGGATTTTTTCTTATGCAAGAATATTTTTAAAACGTCGCAGTTTATGCGTTTAGATAATTATTTAAAAATTGAATACTTTATAACCAAATATCGTGTCTTTTAGAATGAAAAAAAAGCTTTTTGTTTTTAGTGGTGCTTTTCTCTTGAAAAAAATCAAATCACTGATCATATTTCATTTAACCGAACTTATTGTTGATTAACATAGATAGTCTTACTAATTGGTTTAGTCATTTATATTGGTAGAAAAAAAAAAGACATTTTCCATAATTTTGTCAAGAAATAGAATAAAATATTATATTTTTTTTATTTTGCGATAAAATTATTCAAAATTATCTCACTATAACTGTCCAACAGAAAAGATTTCTTATATGATAATTGTCACAGTTGATCATATAAATATGCGAGAAATCGCTACCATCATCTTATATACATTTTAGTTTGGTTTTGGGTAATGTTGTACATAGGATCTGTTTTTCAAAATACGACAGATTTTCTTTCATATTGACATATAAACTTCAAAAATCATTCTAGTTTTATTTTAGACATTTGATGATTCTATTGACTTTACTGATCTATTTTTCTATTTCATCTATTAATATTTTATAACATTTTGGTGATTTATTGCTAACAAAATAATCATGTTAATTTTTATTTATTTATTTTAAACCAATGTAAACCAGAATAATTTCATTTAATGTAAATATTTTATTTATTGATTTTTGTTAAATTAGAATAGTCGAACATGATTAAATATTTATCAATAAAAATATAATAAAATCAATTTAAAAAAAAAACTAGATTTTTAATTTAATAGTATTGTTCAATTTATGTTATACTAGAATAAAAATAATTCGAAGTAAAATTTTATGTTGATTAAAATGAACTTAATCTACGTAGTAGATTCACTGTAGTTATTTTACTTTAAAACAAAACGTATTTATTTTTTAACCTTTTTTATTTATATTATATTTAACTGAAATTAATCTAATGCGGTTTTTTTTTTAGAATAAATTTAGTTTTAAACGGAAGAAAGACGATAAAAAGTTGGTTGGAAAATCAAGTTACCAAGTCATGAATAGTACAAAAACTATTAGTTATACAATGTATACGATAACCATATAGAATCTTTTATGGACTATATAATATCTTACAAGATTACACAATAAGATCATGTAAAACTTTTATAGTGCGATTTAATTAGAAATGTTGGACACCCAGCCCAGATCAACCAATCGAATGGCAAAGTCTTACAAGATCGTATCTCTGATCTGATAAGATCAGATGAAAAATGGTAGTCTCGGAAATCTTACATTATGTTGTAGTATAAAAATCTTCGAAGATCTTACTTTCAGGTACGATCTTTCATGGATCTTATAATGTGACATCGTGTAAGAGTTCAGAGACTGCGATTTCTCGTACGATTTCATCTGATTCGATATGATCTAACATCTGCTTTTTCGATCTGGACTGGACGCTAAAATCTGATTAACCGATAATCGGTTAAGCAGATGTGAACAAGCTATTTCTTCACTATGAGAACAATACCTATTAGAAGATTCCACATAGTTCTAAAATCAGCTGAAACAATATTATGTTTTGTCCTAATAATAGGGGAAAAAATCGTGCTAGAATCTACTTGGTTAGTAATCAACCAAGAAGATTTGAGGCAGTTGTTTCTTCGCTATTGTTCAGAAAAGCATTGTTATGTCCGGGTCATATGAAAGAGGACCCTTGATAACCATAAGATTGNTTCATCCTGAGCAATAGTATCAAAATAAGTCTTACAATGGCCTGCCTATTTTTCTGATTTGAAGACATAGACCGCTGCGGTTCCTACAAATATAAGCAAGTAACAGTTAAAGCATAGTCATGATACGACTGCCAAACAATTTCCTATCAACTTTCAATCATGAAGCTTGGTGTGAAAAAAAAACTTCACCATAGATTCGATACAACAATCCTTTTGTACTATTTTTCCTACTTTTTGGGGTGAGAGTAAGGGTGCGAGGGCGAGTCTTTCTTAATATTACTCACACTCACACATCCTTTTGTCGTGATACAGATACATTGATTCATATTATGATTTCTCTATCATTTGTTACGCTCAGATTTTCTCATTCGCTTACTTTTTCAAACTATTCAATTTGTTCATTATCAGTCTTATCGTCTGACATTTGTCTCAGTTACATCAAGCCATGCTTTTATACTGAAAAAATGTGACTAAAATTGCTGTGATATAATAAAGATAGAGTAAAAAGAGTCATTCAAACTAAAATGTTTCTTTTTAATTCACTACCTAATGTAATGTTAATTTTATCAACAGACAAATGTCCTTCGTAGACTGAAAAACTTCATTAACCATTTTTAATTGTTTCTCTTCATTCTCAAAAATTAAAATGCTGCAAAATAAGATCGAATTAGAACACTGAAATGATAGATAACCTAATTATTTAAAAAAATTAGAGAAATATTTTTTCTATTGATTTTTATATGTTGGATAGAATGATAAATATGACAAAGCTGTTCTATTCGATATTATTGATGTCAATTTTTCGTCATTGAGAAAACAGTTTGTACTATGATAAGATTAATAGAATTGATAAACCTCAAATGATCGTTTTTTTTTCATGTGCCATCCAGATCCTTTCACAATTTGTTGAAATATTGGTTAAAATAACCTAGTTTTGTTTTTCAACATAAATTGTGTCTCATGATATGAGGAATAGAGATTGTATTAGCATTTATTTTGATAATAAAAAGTTTCAGAATCTGACATGTCACAGCGTGATGCAAAGAAAAAAAATTCCGTCTAATTGAAAGAATATAATTTAGTACATGGGAGAATTGTATCTACTGAAAAATGAGTCTGAAACAGAAAAGTATTCTGTTTATATCTTTACAATGAACCGATGATTAATTTAAAAGATTTCTATTCATAATAGAACGAGAATTTTTTATTCTTTTTCATAAATGACATATCTTGAATATTGATTAGATTTTCAAAGATTAAATTGCTTACCCAAAAGAAGTATTATTATGAAATTATTGCCATTGAATTGTTGACTCTGGTGCTCATTGTAATTCTCTAATAGCCATTTTTTAAGTGCTCCATGAGATAATGACGAAATTAGTAGAAAAAATCGATAACAAAAATACACCGATAGGTTCAATCATTTCTTATGCGAACGTATTTCTTGCAAATTTTCAAGCTTCGGCAAAATTCATTGAATGAGGTAAGCCAGAGTGGGAAAACTGTTTCGTTAACTCATGAATCTCTGCGAAGTATCCCGTATATTGTGATAAAATAACTACTATAGTGCATGTTATTTATTGTTAATTGAGAGACAACTGCTAATCTCAATAAACTATACTGTTCATATATGTAAATGTGTTATAACATTATATTCCTAAAATGCATGCCTGTTTCTTTAGGTGCATGGATTAAATTTTTTCTAACTATTATGCATAACAATTATGATCTCTTTATGCTTATGGTGAGTTTTTTCTATCATTTATTTAAATTGGCATATTTACAAAAAAAACATTCAATATGTATTTGCTCTTCTTCATTCTTATTATGTGTCAGATCATTTAATGACATATATTTTTGTGATGGTGGATCTTCAAAATATACCAGAGGACTTTGAACGATAACGAACACGTGAATATGGATTATAAAGTAGCCGATATTTATCAGCAACTGTAAATACTTTTGTTGAACTCACATATATTTTTGGAGAAAATAGTGAGTATAAGTTTTAAGTCGAAGTTTTGCGGCTTCTCTCCCCCTTCCCCTCTCCATTACAGACATTAGTAATCAGAATACCTCCCCTCATGTCACAGTTGTCATTTGATCAACATAAAAAGCGTGAATTGACCAAGTTATAACTTTAAATAATAATCAATATCAGTTTTTTGTGACTTGAGTTAGATATATAATAGTTTGTTAAGACTTGCTGCTATAGATATAATGGATATTTACAAAAACCTTATTTGCCATTTAATTCAATGCTGATAATGATAACAATGTTGAATTAAGAAAAACAAAATACGAAAATGAAAAATAACGAGTGAATAGCAATGATGCGAACAAAAAAGTAGGGCACCCATAAAAAAAAGGTAAAATTTCTGTTCCCAACGCAGAAATAAATAAGACAAATCTTTACTTTGCTGATCGATTATCTTCGAACAGAACTATAGTCCAAAAGGGATTCTTCACTTCACCTATTTTGTATTAGTTTGATGACGATTAAACCATATATGTGAGTTTCACATTTCAGCGCCAACGGGCTGCGCTAACAAGCTTTTCTTTTCAGAGTATGCAGTAGCTACAAATAATATCTATTGCATATCTGCGATGTCACAAATCATCTTCCAATTCAGTTTGACAAATAATTATGTGTCAAAGATCGATGATAAATCATACACAATGATGGTTGATAGGCAGCGAAGCAGTGATTCCGGTGCTAGTAACATAAGCAGAAAAAAATCTAGGAGGACTGAGCCTGGTTGTAGTGCATCGCTAGGGAGGTGCTCAGCCTTCCTTCCAAACCGGACGCAAGCTTCCCTAATGGACATTAAAAGTTTTTCGGCATGAACTCTGATGTCTCTGAGTCTTCCCTTCTGGTGACGGCACTAGCCTATGCACACCATTTAATAGTTTCAATGCATAGGCATCTATCCAGAGGACAACAAGTGGAATCGCTCTCTCTTTTGAAAAACACAAATGTCGAGAGTCGATCGAGATAGATCGTTTTCTGTCAGTGAGAAGCAGTTTTTTTTACATTGTGATTCTCTTTGGAATAGTCAATAATCCTAAAAAAATTTTGGATAGATGCATCGGTATGCGTCATCAACGAATAGATGGTATCATGGTGTTGCTCCTTTAAAAGAGTTTGCAGTAACTGTTGATTAGAGAGTCGTACGGTAAGAAGGAAATGGTGATACGCAGTCAGTGGCTTAACCGAAAATGTGACGTTTTCAAGGCGTTAAAAGATGTAGTTTTGATGCTGTTAAAACTACACGACTTTTGCTAAGTGACTGAGTGTGCAACATTCCACTGTTATACACGTCATTTGGTTCGCAGATAAACTGAATAAAAACTACTTAATTTATTTGTGAATGAAATTTTTTGAATTTTCAAGTAGTATTATCAAATTTTAAGATCTCTATTAACTTGACTACTAAAACAAATTCTTTTCATGACTAGTCTAGAACTGATGGTTTCTGTATCGACAGTGAAATTGCTTTGGTTATTAGACGAAAAAGCAGCGCTAGAGAAAACTGACTCCCGCATGAGCAGAAGACAAGTGTTTTTGAGAGAGTCGCAATTAGTCCTCGTACAATGAAGCAGACAAAAGTATTCTGCCAAAATATTTGGATCACTTTGCAAGCAAAAATGTCATCGCATAGGCAAAGATGGATAGTCAGAGCAATTTTGCACTATACTAACACCGAAACACATGTTTTCATTGTTGAGACAAGCATCCATTATCAGTATATGGGGTGTGGATGTAAATTATGGTGGATATGGGTAGATGAGGCGAAAGAAACATCCATACATAAACCTTCATCTACACCTCCGCTCATATCCTGGAGTTTGGTGAAAAATAAACTTCAACGCGATGCGAAAGTTTTCTGGAATAGCATCAAACTTTTTTCTCAACTATTGAACATCGAGCAAACTTAAACTTGTCTTTTTTGTTTGCCAGAGCAAAGTCCGGGCAACGAATTTATTTAACAAATAGTTTTTTTTTTATTTATTCATTATTTGTACAGTATCACAATATTCTTACAATTGAACTAAAAACAGTGTTCTAAGATGCGACAAACTTTGTTTCACAAATAATGTTACTCTTAGATTTTGAGTCATTAGTAAAATGCGTTATTGAACAGACCATTACAAGTTCTCTTCAAAGTTTATCTTGCAAATGATCTCCTATTTGCTTCTTTCAGCTTTTTTAAACTGCGTAATTGATGCCTTTGATCGAAAATCTATAAGAAACGTTTGAATTACTTGCAAAATATCGGAGAATTTCTTTCGTTTCAACTATCGACCAACATAGTTACATAGTGATGAATCTGGAGACAAATTGAAACCCGGTCAGGACGCATTCAACGACATGTCCTCCATTCTGAATTTTATTGAAAGCCATCGTTATAGTAGCTACTTGTTTTTTCTTTTCATCGAATTTCAGTTACCAAATGTCTCAATTTGCTTCGAAATACTAAGATTCTCATTATGTACATACCAGTCTTGAAAATAGATCAAAATTGTCAAATATAAATTGTGTTTATACGGCTCCTAGCAAAAGACGATGTGCATTACATTTTCAAATGGTTGAAAAGAGTGCATCGATAGGAAAATAATTTCATTTCTAATCAAGCATGCTACTACTATCACTCGATTAGCATTGTTGGAATACAAAGAACTATATTCAATATTCGCTGAAAACTCAATGTTGAAATAAGTCAAGAGAAAAGTATTTTTTTGTACAAAGAGTTCAAACATTCAATATTTATGAATGGTAAGCAATCAGTGTTTTTCTACCAAGATTTTATTTAATTAAGAAAAAATACGATTTGTTGCCGTTTGACAATACGGCGCGTTAATCGTTCCAGTTTTCCAACATGATCTGACTCTAGAGCATGCGTTGTTGGCATTAGCAGTCAAATATTCATATGTTATATCAAGCAATTAATACACAAAACAGATGAACGAAAGGGAAGATTTGAATGCTAGAACAATAAGAAAAACTCAGTATGAATGATAAATAAATGTAAGTTTTGTTTAATAATAGAATAATAACTTAGTCCAACTTGACCAATATACCAATGCTAATAGTATTTTCAGGATTTAATTTAATGTTCACTGCTGTTCCTGGATAAAAACGTTTTAGGATAGAATAAATATCCAATGGCCAACGTCGAATCCAGCTTTGCCATCCTATTGTTGATATTATAATCGTCTCACTCGGAACGAAAATTGACACTTGGGAGCCATTATTTGGTATTGGCACATTTAATTGAGTACGAGCGAGTTGCAAAATTTCGAATGGTTTGATTCGACATTCGGAGTAGCCGTACAATGCTGTAATGTGATAAAAATTTTTACCATACACTTTTACTCTAAGACGCTCATTGTTGTTGATTATCGCTCATTTTGTATGCTGAATTCTGAGAAATATAATCACTTGAGGTATGGAGTGCATGTGCGCCAGAAAACTTTCAAAATACATGAGGCGTATGTTTCTTCGATATTGTTAGAAAGCATGAAACGCCTGGTGTCACTACAGCTGGAATGACATTGTTCGTATTCATGTTGTGTAAGTCACAGTAGAAAGATGTAGTAGATGATGATGCTATTCGTATATTTTCTATCAACTGCACACGACTTTGAACTCTGTGTAGGACTCCATTGTCTTTCGTATCACAATCAACATCTGAATCCGAATCCGACCATGGTATATTGTTCGACTGAGTTCCTTTGGCAGTTGAAATCATTGGAAAATCTGTAAGAGAAACTCGGGAGCTTTGTCGCGAGCTACAAATTAATAGACCAAGTCTTATTACGAGGATGTTAAGATTGGTTGTCCGTGAATGGATCTTCAGAAAACGACGCAATTGCAATTGACCGAAAAACCAACAAAAGCCAAGAATGAAAAACCCGCATACAATCAGAATAGCCACCCATCCTCCAGAAGGAATCTTGATCGCGTTTGATGACCATGTATAAAGATCAATAATGAGAAATATACCAAATGGTGCAACAATATACCATGGTTTGTGCCACGCATAACGAAGAACGAGCATGTATAAGATTGTTGTGATGACCATCACGCTGCAAACAATTACTCCATAAGCATTGGTCATATTAGAACCCTTTTGAAATCCAGCGACGATAGCAATAGAGAAGAACATTAATATGTAGTTTATGGTCGGAACGTAGATTTGACCGACAATGGTTTTTGACGTATGCCGTATTGGTAATGATACCGAACATTCCATGCCGATCGCTTGACTGATCAACGAAAAACTGCCAGTGATTATGGCTTGTGATGCAATTTTTGTAGCTATGGTAGCTAGAACGACCATAGGCCAATGCTCCCAAGATGGAATAGCACGATAAAATGGACTGTCGATCAAAGCCGGGTCGGTGATTAATAGTGCATCTTGTCCCAAATAGTTGAATAATACGGCAGGAAAAGCGACGAAGAACCATGAATAACGAATTGGCCACCGTCCGAAATGGCCTAAATCAGCATACAATGCTTCAAGACCAGTAGCAAAAAAGAAAAACGCCACCAATTTGATAGAAACCTCGTTTCTTCTCTGTTATCAGATAATGAAATGCTTCCCATGAATTAAATGTTTTGAGAATACTCGGTTTGTAAGTTATTCACCAAATACCGATTGAAAACAAAGAAATAAACTATAAGCACATGATCGGTCCAAACATAACACCGATTTTCGATGTTCCCCAACGTTGAGCAAGAAAAAGAAGAACTAAAATGACTACCGTTATCGGTACAATCCAGTTATGTAACTTGGGAGCTTCGACGGCCACTCCCTCGACAGCTGATAACACTGATACAGCTGGTGTTAATGCACCATCACCAAGCAAGAGAGATCCAGCTAGCAGCGATAGAACGATTATCATTTTCTTGGTTTTCGGACTCAAAAGACTGTTTTCACTTGTCAATAAACCACATAAAGCAAATGTTCCACATTCGCCATGATTATCAGCCATAAGTATGAAAATACCATATTTGATTGATACAGCAACAATTAAGCTCCAAACAATCAAGCTGACGGCACCAATGCATTGTGCTTCAGATGGTTGATAATAGAATATCGTACTGAGAACATATAGTGGTGATGTGCCTATATCACCGAAAATAACTCCTAATGAACGAAGTGTAAGATTAAAAAATAATGATAGGTTTTTGCATGGTGTAATGTCGATAGTTATCGGATGCTCGTCTATTGGCAATGCGATCGATTTAGAATGTTGATCTTGGTGGATTGTTTCTGCTGTAGCGAATGCATTTCCATTGATGTGATCGAAGCTTGTAACATTTTTTGTCACAGAATTATCTTCTTTCTTGTTTTCACACTGAACGATATCGTCGGCTATAATGAATGTCAGGAAAAAAACAGAATATGCCGAAAAACGATTTTTTAACCTCAGTAGTTGCTGCATATCTAAGTTTCATGAGCGTCATTGGAACTGACAATGGAAAACAAGCATGCTCTGGATCTATAGTTGTGTCTATGAATAAGAGAATAGGTTTGTGTATACATAAATTTGAGCACTCGTTGGATAGTTATTGTCATTACATAGAACCTTTAAATTATTACTAACAAGTGGTCAACGATTGGAAATTGTTGAACTAAATTTAATTTTGGACACTTGCCAAAAATAGTGTTTAAACTGAATGATGCAGAATCCTCATGGATTTCGTAATACTGCGATTGATCATGAAAAAAAGTTGGCAAACAAGTGTCAAGAAGTTAATAAACATGCAAACCTATTCTCTTATTCATAGCCAAATTGATGAAACAAAAGCATGCTTGCTTCTCATAGTCATTTTATTTGCAATACACCGATAAACAACTAAGCTTGTTGATATTCGATTCTCTGAACAAAATGTGTTTGCAAATTAATCACCGGCAGAGAACTCCCATTACTCCTATTATAAGTTTTGATGGCATTACTAGAACTGAGATATTGACTTTCCTACCAGAGGCTCATGTATCCTGCAGACAGTAGTTGGTAACACCTTTGACTCAGACTCAAACTTTTCACGCTAGACAGCCAACTAAGTGTTATTCTACTCTCATAAACTTTCAAAAGTGGTTGATAGGTGTACTGAAGTAATTGAATATCTCATGTTAATTCTTCGCGAGAAACCCATAGAGAGATCATGCAAAAACATCTTATTTCATGCGAGAATGTCTATCATTAACCCTTTGGGGACGGGGTTTTTTTGAAAAAATTAAGGTTTTTATCAAAATTCAAACAAATACTTACTCAGTTAAAAATCATTATCAAGAATGTTTTACGATACGATAAGCTGAAAAGCAATCAATTATACACAACCTAACAAATGAAAATTACTCTTTAGACTATTTCCACTCAGTTCTGATTAATTTGGTGTATATGCCATCCTCGAATTTTGAGAAATAGTCGAAGTGGTATATATACCACGCCCGTCCCCAAAGGGTTAATCATAAATCGTCGTTCCCTAAATCATATTCACTTTCGTGGATAATTATAAAATTCAATTAAATCCAGTGACCAAACAGTGATTTTAATTTAGGAATTTTGTGATTTAGGAAGTTTTTTAATATAAAATATACTTTACATACTGTAATCCATTATCATCCTAAGACTCATATCATATTGTACACATGTTATATTCAAGTATCAAACATTTTAAAGGATACTATTGATTCTGATAGAGTAATAATAGCATAGGTACGATGTTATTTATAATATTTTGACATGAAATAGTAACGTTGCAAACGTATTTTGTAGGCGCAATACCTTCTAAACTATAAATATAGCAAAGTGTTTAAGTTTATATCATTTGTATGATATGTGTTATAGGATCTTAATTTGTTAGTATCATAATGTAACAGTATTGTGGACTGAATATCTGTCATTCGTTAGTTTTACAACACTTTTATTATGATGTATATTGCTAATTCTTCTTATGAATAGTAATACAATCAACGCAGCCAGTAAAAGTTTTTGCTTTACGTGTTACATAATTCAATATTAAATGAAAAATAACTTTCTGATTATTAAAATATCAACTAAAATCTCAAAGAACGTAGTGATCATTCTACTCCTACAAAACGATTACACAATTTTTAGCCTATTTCAAGATATATAGAATGGCTATAACAGTAAAACATGTATATAGATCGATTGTCAAAACATATACTTTCTCTATTTCTAAACACAAAAAAGCTTTTAACAATCAAAAATATATTCTGATTACTAGATTTATTAGAAAATCATTTTAAAATGATTTCTACTTTTTATTTCTGAATAGGCTCTCCCACCTCATCGTAATTTGTATTTTAGTGTACAACTATTCTAAGACTTGATAATTAATGATATGCATGGCATATCTTTTATTAAAAAATTCTAAATCAAAACGTCGCTAAATTACAATGTCTAGTTGCTCACTAGAATTCAACTTAATTTTTTAATTATTCATAAACGTGGAAATTGCGTGTGGATGTGGATGTCTACAAATAGAAAATGCAAAGCGACAATAACATATGCCAACACCCACACCTTCCGCATCCACCCATTTAGAGATCGATTTAGGAAGCCATGATTTGTGATAAATGATAACCATTCGTGAATAGCTGTATCTTTCCAGAGTAAATTAGCAAAAAATCTAGTTCAAACATGATCTTACCTGCATCCATTATGATTGAAATCTTTCTGTTATGATTGAGTAGTCAGAGTATATGTTGGTCAACTTAGTGAATCGCAATCATTTATATTCAAGTGAAAATAATCGATCTCACACATATATCGAGGCTGTGCTGCACATAAAAAGAAAATAGTTTTTGTTTCTCTCTTCGTCACTATCTATGCATCGATACAATTATTGGGCGGGGCTGTCATCGAAATAATTAATGGTTTTTTTAACTTTTGATTCGTCACTTTTTCTCTTCCGTTTGATGAATCTTTTATAATTAATGTACTGTGACCACAAACATTTAATTTTTGGCCTCATGTGTAGCAGATACACGAATATGTTTGTACTCATATGCAGTATTGTATTTCATTGAAGCAGTGTAAATGAAAGACCACATTCAAATATAAAAAGATTTGACGTTTTTGTTAGGCTTTCTGTATTATCTGATACTCCTGCCCACGCTAATACGTGAGCTGGAAGATGACTATCGAAAACCGTGGTCTGTATTGATGTTTCTACTCTCCCTCACTTAAACAACTTTCTCCATATATTGTACTATTTGAGATAAGGGATGAATATAATGTGTTTGAGTTCATAATTTTATTTATTAGGATCTTATCATAATGAAGAAAAGCAGAACACTGAATAACAACTTCTGCTTATGTATTAGTTAACTTTACTAATACTTAACAACAACTTTTATAACAACTGACTACATAGCCAAAAATGTGGGGAAATATATATAAAGGAAAGACAAAAAAAGAAAAAGACGGACAAAAGGAGGATCATAAACCATAGAGTATATGAAAGAGGAAGAGAGAAACCAATGAACAAAGAACGTTAGCAACAACCTAGTATCATATGTTGGCGCTAACACTTTGGGTGTGGGTGTTAGGATAGAAACGACCCGCACCCACATCCATAATGGCAAATATAGTTTTTATTTTTAAATACAAGAAAGTTTTATAACAATCCAAAATATATTCTGTTTATCAAATTTATTACAAAATACTTGAATAACAGTTTCTCGATTTTATTTTTGAATAGGCTCTTCTACTTTATCTTAGGTTATATTGTCATGCACAACTATTCTCAAACTGGATGATTTACGATATGCATGGCATATTTTATATTCAAAAGAAGAAAATTTCCAAATTAAAATACTTGGTCATCAGAGTTGAACTTAATTTTTTAATTATCCATAAATGCAGATATCATTTAAGAAACGATGATTTGTGATAAATGATAACCAATCATTATATTTACTTCTATTTGAGTCTTCATATATAACAAATACAAATACCTATTCACAGCAGCAAAGGTACTCCCTATTTTAACATAACTAACCATCCTTATGTGCGTGACAAATTGCGAACGATGAAATGTGTTCATAAACAAAACTATCCTACCTTTTGATTAAATTAAGTGATGTTCTAACAAAGTCAACGACTTCACCCATTGGTCGTGTGACAAGACCAATAACACCTTTTCTTAAACCTTTAATAAAACCTGATGCTCCACCATGTTTTTCTTCTCATATTGGTTTTGTTACAACATCATTAACACTATCAACAAAATCCTATTTAAAAAAAAAAAACATCTCAAATTCAAATATGGAATTCTTTATGTCAAATACGTGAAGCTTTATAGTATTGATTTTGATAATGAGATGTAACTTGGTTTTTATTTTTGTTGTTGTAAATTTCTTATGCTTTCGTTCATAGTAATCCGAACTAGAAATTAAAACAATTAAAATCGAATTCATTTAACAAAACAACGAGAAAAATCCTACCGTAAATAACATTTTGTACTTCGGCAACAATTAATGTTTGTAAAAGAGATCCAACTAATGGATATTCAACTAATAATTCTTCACTTGGTTTTTATCCATGCATTGAAAAACTAACATGAATCTAAGCATAATTCTTTATTTAGAAAAACTGAAATAAATTCGTTTTTAATACTTTAAGTGGTGATAATTAAATGAATATTATCAAAAAGTATTTCTGTTTCACTCGATGAACTCTCAATTTATGCTTTAATAATAGTATTCAGTGGTTTTTTAATTTGTTCTAAATCATTATTCATATTAATTGTTGGTACTGCGATAATCTATTGATGAACGAAAAGCAAAAAAAACCAACAATCGAAAAAAGAAAAATGAAGAAAACAAAATAAACGTTTTCTGGTCTTAAAAAAAGTGAGTATGGCAACAATTAAACTTTGATCAAATTGTACAGCAAATTCTTGAATAAGTACTTTAAAATATTTAAATTGCATTATATTTGATTGTACTGTTTTAGATTGATAAACACTTAATTCAATAAATAGTTTTTCAACTTAGTCAGATCCTGTTCCTTTTGAAATACTTGGATGAAACATAACAGGAAATATTGTATAATCAAGTTGATTATCAATTTTTACACGATTAATACGCATATATATTGCAAAATTTGATGCTGACCATGAATATTCAATCCATAGACTATCGAATGCTTGTAGTTTAGCAATTTCTCGTTGAGATTTTGAATGAATTAATTCTGCTCTTTCACCATGAAATGAAATTTCCTTTTAAAAAAAAGAAAACACTTTTTTGTTTGCAAGAAAGCTATCATGTATACCAATTTTTATATGTTGCTCCATAGATTCAACTACTGATGGTATCGATATGAATTATAATTGATTTACTAATTCTTTTTTTTCTTAAATAAAGATGAAATTCATACAATTTTAGTGCTGAAAAGTTTTTCGAATAGCCAATGAAAGTTTTCTAAATTAGAACAGGCTTATCTCAATCGAATTAAAAATGATTCATAAAGACAAAGAGAAAACATGGTTAAAACGTTTTGAAGTTTTTTGTAGTCCTATTGTTGATATTATGTAATCATTTGCAGGCGTTTATAGACCAGTTTCATGTTAGTTTAAAGACACGAACGACTACTATACGAAAATTATTCAAGTCAACGGAAAATGTTTTCAAATGTATCTATATTATACAAAAAGTATTTCGTTCTATATTGAAGTCTGATTTGGTTNAAAACTTACTCTCACTATTTTCTTCGAAAGCATACGTGAGTTCCACAAAATTACCTATCCTTATTTATATACGGTGTACCTTTATTGAGAAAATCCTTTTTCGGTTATCAATGGCAAACTATAAAAAAAGTTAGGTTCGCTTGTTTTAGTAATAAGCTGTTGTTATAGATTTATAAGCCAGTTTATTCAAGAGTATTTACATAGCGTCAATAAGTTTGTGACGAGACAATATCTGAAGAGTCTATAATTAACAGCTATCTCTCTTCAATGCAGAATATAGCAAAGTTTTATTAGTGTTTCTAATTCTCCTTCAATTTTGTATTGGAAAGAAGATCAGAACATTTTCCGATGTTCACATCTTGTAGAATTTCACTAAACTATATACAGTGGTTTGCAAAAAAACTTGGAACAAACATTTGGCTTATATTAGCGCCTGAGTTAATCGTCTTGAAAAAAATGTTTCGCTATTTCATACACAATAGTTCATAGTTTAACAGCATCCAGTTCAGTATTGTGTTCTCTCTTCTTTTACTTCAAAAACTTAATTGCATCTTTTTTTATGCGATTTGCCAAACTAATTACAACTTATTTTTTCATATGAGTTCATTTTTAGTTTGTAAAAAGTCTTCAGTTTACTTGTATGTTTTTAATTTTCTTTTCTCGACTCTATGTTTCACACATTCCAAACATTTTCGGTGGGATTAATATCCGGGTTGTTGAGTGACCAATCTAAAATATGAGAAATAGTAGTGACGACGAGTATTTCTCATATTTTAGACTGTCATCAATCAGCACGAATTCGAATGGAACCGAAAATGATTGACATATTATGAAACAATTAAGAGACATTGGCTTTGTGACTTTTCAGCCAATTCATCGATCGCGACTTTCTAATTTCACGTAATGAATTGATCTCGTACTCGATTGTATGTCGTATCAATCTTACGGTTGTCCATAATTTATCCGTTCGATACTTTAAAGAACTTTTGTACCTGAGCTGTTCCAACTGATAGGTAATTGTAGGCAAAGGTGTGTTTGTAGCTCGATGGTTTTTTTCTGGCTGAACGAATTCCCTTGCTTCAATAATATAATAGAGAAATATGCTATTTTCTCGTATTGTTTGGCTTTACCATATCGAACTCTACTCTAATAACCAAAAAATACAAATCGATAAAGTATATCAATATGTTTAGTAGATATCCTGCTAAATATAAATCTACGATAACAGCAAAAAGATGCCCGCCAAAAAAGCTAGGAAATATTAAATCTTTGTATTGACAAATTGTTCCAAGTTTTTTTGCAAACCACTGTATACATATTCCATAAAAAAAAACATATAGAAAACAAATCGAAAAGCGGTATTGTTGATTCAAAGTTGGTCAGAGCATATTTTACTAATACCGAAAAAAATACTCATTAGCATATATTTATAAAAAGTATCTTGCTAGAAAAATCCTTGTTGTAAGAAACTTCATCATGTTTATATAATTAAAATAAAAGTGCAATGTCAAGCATCAGTTATTCATCATAGAAATGAAACAATAGTTAATGGAAAGTGCTTTAAAAAGAAAGGTATGATGTAAATACAACGAAAAACAAAACATGAAAGTCATCAATTAACGTAAATCATCTTCGTCATCATCTAATTGTATTGGTTTACTTCCACTAGTCGATGGAGCTGTAGAATTAGCCGTTCGTTGTTGATTTACATTATTTGTTGTTGGACGAATCCATCGTTTAATTAAACGAACAAATTCAGGCTCAATTGCCATGAAATAAGGACTCTAGAAGAAAATATAAAATTTACAATTAATAAAAAAAAAAACTAAATTACTTGACAACGTTGACTAATTAAATCTTTATCATCTTGATCAAATGCATCAAGTAATAATTCAATATGATTTCGTTCTTCCCATTGATCAAATGTTGGATAAATTTGACAAGCGTGATCAAAAATATTTCGACCAGCAATACTATCTTCATTGAATAATTTAAGTAATATTCTATAGAGTATAACACGATTAATTCGATCAAATCGTTCCAATTTTGTAAGAATATTTGTTGTTGTTTCAAGTAATTCAGTTGTCTGTTGAAAATTACTCATACGTATTGCTTGCATAGCAGCTTTTTCATATAAATCAGCTGTTTGATATGATTTTTCTTCTTGTTCAGCTAAACGTGCAGCTTTAAGATAAAAATCAATTGAAATAGAACGATCTAATTGTTGAAATTGTGGTGCACAACGTTCATAAAGAATTGCACCAGAATCACGATAACCTTAAACAAAAACAAAAACAGACCAATGTTAAATCAATTTCTTTTTTCTTTCGACTAAAAACAAAAACGATTTATACCTCCTTCAACATACAATTGTCCTGCTCGATCGTAATATTTAGCTGCTGTTGGCAAATCTTGTAATTGTTGTGTCATTTGTGCTGCTTGTTCATAAGATTTAGCCGCAAAAAATGGAGTTCCTAAAATCAATAATCATTATATAGATTTCTAATAAAATAGTTAGAATATAATGAAAGTAGCGATGGAACAACTCTAATTGCTTAAAAGAAGTTTAATAACAACATATTTGTGATTACTTTTCTATAATCTTAAGCAATTAGCTAAAATCTAGATAGCGCAGAGATCAAGCTGACATCTGACACGGATTTAAGATCGGTCATTACTGATCTATCTTATTAATTTTTTGCTCGTAGTATCTCATAGAAAAGGAAGGCATCGCTATATTTCCTACGACCTTCCCTTAAAAAGTTGACAGTATCACAAAAATTAAAAAAAAAGAAGGTGGTTTTAGTTGATTTTTTTCCTGATAAATTTCGTTTCTTTTCAGCTTTTGTGATACTTTTAACTTTTTAAGGAATACTCATAGAAAATTTGACGATCCGTTATGTCGCTCAGAATTGTTTCACTCTTAAAAAGGGCATTATTAAAAAAAAATAGCTTCAACAAAGTATGCAGAGATTTGAAAACTATCGTTTCATCTTACTTCATCTATGCAACCTTGATATAGAAAACTCTATTGGCTATTAAAATTACTATCTAACTTTGATCTAATTACTTAACATTATAGAAAAAATACATTATCGTTAAACTGTTTTCACCACCTTATATGAACTGATAGCAAAAAACAATGCCGTACGTTTCTGTAGTATTTGATCATTTTCTAACTAATATCACAATAAGAAAATTTTGATACCAGCTGTTTGTTATGATATGTAACGATGAGGTATCTTCTCATTTTATTGACAGAATATTTTATCCTTTCCATCAACGCATATTATTTCTGAGCAATTTCAGAATNTGAGGCGAGTACAATCAAGTGAGGAGAAATGGGAGGGCATGTATGGACCATGTATTGAGAGATCTTGCATGTGAAAGAAGAGATAGTTGCAAAATCGAGACGGTAGCCAATGGCCAAGAGACGATAGCTGAGAAAGACGATTGAGTAGAAAAGATTGTTACCGGAAAGTGCAAGAAAATAACGCGAACTTGCGTGATTGTATAAGGCAGGTCTTGTTAACACAGCAATGTTCAAAGAGTTGCCTACAATACCAAATACCATGATTACGGGCACGATTGCTCGAACCAATTCAGCGGTCAACAGCACGAGTGAGTCGCTCATTGTATCTTGAATGTTGTTCTACGCATGACTGTTCGATTGGCTTACTTTTACACCATCTTTTCTCATTACCCATTTTGATTTTCAAGATTAAAAAGTCAAAAACACAGATGCCCACATTTGTGTCAAACATGACGTATGCCATCTTCACTTGATTGTGTGATCCGCTTGGGTAGGTGAATATCTGTTGGAGTTTTACAATTATAGGCGTGGAGTAGACGAGAAACAAATTCTTTTCTACTTTCTCTTGTTTATCTTTGATTGGATTTCCATTCTCTGACGTCAAAATTTATCCTCATTCCTCAACGAGAAAACTCGTCCCTAACGATTTTTCAACTTGGTAAAAATGTACAGATTCGCTTATCGAGATTGCTTAGGTACGTCATAATTCAAGAAGAGTATTTGCTTGTCTGTTCCGACGCCAACTTCAGCTCTTATATTATTTTCATAACGGAGAACAAGAGATTCTCGCTGCTGACTGAATCGCATTAAACAAAAGTCATTTGTATATACAAGCTGTAATGGTTGACCTATTTTGCGTAGAGCACTAGTGACTGATAGTAATATCAAATCAATATGATTTCATTCTATGTTTAAGTTGATATGATCCAACAATACATATTAAATATTTCTTGAACACAGATAGATGAAATAGTAGTTTCTTTATCATTATGTAACAAGGAATTGTAATAGTAATCCATGCCTAAACAAATATTTGTAGAATTGAAATTACAATGAAGCTAAAGCAATTATGATTGAGTACTCTATCTTGATCTGCAATAATGTTGACACATCGCTTCGCGTATAACAAAGATTGACTGCTTAGATCAAGTGAAATATTGTTATTGATAGACATCAAACTATTTTCTTCGCAATAAAAGTCGCAATACTATTCAGAGACTTAGAAATGAAGATTATCGTAATTATGATCGTCTTTTTGACCGCTTCCCATAATATCTGCTGAGGAAGTTGGAGAACATCCATTGCTAGAAAGTGTCTGGCAACACACATATTTTAAATTAATATATAAAGATATGAAGTATGCAACTGACTTACATTACTCAAATGGAAATCGCTGTCATATTAGATGAAACGTCGTCAAGATTAATCGAAGATTACTTGTCTTTAACAGAATGACAAATGTGGCAAATATCGATTACATACATCATTCGACAAGAACGAGCTAATTTATAACGTCTGTATATTGAATGAGTTGGCAACATCAAATCTTAGTCTATCTCGATCAAATACAGTTCAACTGAACAATGACCTTCGGCCTTTTCTATTAACATTCGTTTTTGAAAATTCAGACAGTAGATATAGTTATTTTCGTTCATTCAATTCATGCATCAAACATTCGAGACTTCTCTGTCAGACGGTAGTATACTTTTATCAATGCTTTTTTCAACGAATGGCTTAGGGTACATATCCTCAGAATAGATGGTTTTGAGTTGACGACAAAATCGTAAGGACGTTATTTCGTATGAACAAAAGCTTCTTCTTATGCATGTTTCCTTTTCCACAATTTTTATTCCTCAACATAACGTCTGCAATTAATATACTAATAATTCACTGGTGTCAAAGTGATAAATAGGCTCCTGTCAACATCAAACATGAAACCAAGTCAATCAAATAGAAAGTCGTTAACGACTTGTATGTATCATCATTCAAGAAGGAACTTCGCAATAGATTCCACTGTGCGAGACTATATGAAGGAAGCAATGCTTTTCCGGTCGATCTAGACAAGCAGCTTCTACCGACAATGGGCAACAACATAGACGTTTGGTGAAAAATGACAAGTAACATTTTTCACAACTTGAATAATGTCTAACATACTTTGACCAATGGCTGATTTATTTGTAAAAGAAAATTTATTCCAACTCTTTAAGGCATTCGAAAAAGATTAGCTCCATACATGGCCAGACTGCTGTCATCGGCGAAGAAAATATCTTTTTTCAAAGAAAGTAGAAAGATATAAGGAATAAATTATACAGATGTTAAAAGTAGAGCTTTCAGTCTATCGTTCTATCATAAAACTTCGTTCTAACACTTTCTCTGTTGGAAAAAGTTTTCAAAAAACATGTGTTCAGTGTAATGGGTGTGCATACTTTAGCACAGTTCCAAGCTCGACGAAACTTTCACCTGATGTTTTGCTCTATCTGATAACGTCTACTCAGTTAGCATAAAGATTTGTACATCCTACGATACTGAGTTACAGTTTTTTCAAAAAACTTGATTTTTCATTAAATTTTTTTAGATTTCATGTCTTTTATGAGTCATTTTTCTGCGTAATAGCAATTAATATCATTCATATTTCTCTATGGAAAAATGCGATTTCGACAGAAATCACTCATGCCAACGTGCCCTGTAGAAATTGTCCACTGTACTACCGTTCAAAAATTAAAGAGGTATTTCTAAAAAAAACTCAAATTCTGTATCGCAGATGGGGCCAAATGAAAAATTCGTGGTTGCATCAAATTTACTGATTCTACATATTTCATTAAAAAGATGATCGAGAGTTGTAAGATGATAGGTTATGAATTCCAACTCATATCTCGGTACAATGTGGGTGTGGGTAGCTGTTGACAAGAACAACACCCACACATCACACCCGCACCCATTCTTCTTTTATGTCATTTTATTGGAAATTAAAGAAAGGTTTTGACAGCAGGTAAAATAGGACGTAGTACAACGTTTAGAAAGTTTTTATTGGATATTTAACCAGATACAAGTGTCAAAAAGAAAAGTCTCTTGCGCAGTGACCTTTTCGATGAATAATTATCAAAATGGTTCAGTTTTAACAGTCAGCTGAACAGTGCTCTTTTTAGTTTGACGTCCAGTAAGTGTTGTTATCGTGAGAAGTATCTTCGCTGGATCTACTTGATTATATCCTAGATTGAACAGACATCTTAAATGCATTTTAATGGTTTGTTGAAACGCGGTGATGAAAGAAGGAATATGTACAATAAGAAGTGGAATGGAAATTTGATCGAAGGTTTTTGTTCCATTCTGTTCAAGTGTAGCAATTGTATCAATGTTGACAGAAGATCGAGGAAGTGTGCGAAGTATAATTTATAAGAGTTTGAGTTAACATCATTTTTGCCATTTGTTTTTCCACGTTGACAGATGAGTTTTATTTGGTTGTTGATGAACATGAGTCACAAGACGAATATTACGATACGTCAATAGTCCAAACAATATTAGTATTGTTAGTGGAAGAATAATAGTCACGATGGGAGATAAAATTAGAGCTCCTATTTGCATAAAGAGATCGTTCGTAAACCAACAAACAAATGTTAGTGGCACAAGATCATTATACATAAGAAAAAGAAACATTCACAAATGACTAAAAAATAAACGCAATAGGAAAGAGATAGCGAGCAACACGAATCGAACTCAATTATCGAATTCGAGCTGATGGAGATGTGTATTCCCAACGACCGAATACAGACAAACAAAGAAAACTCAATGCAACAGACATGCATTTGAATATCAAAGGCCAGTAACTTACAAGAAATGGATGAAACAGATATTGGCGTCTATGGAACTATTTGAAAAAACACAATCAATAAAATCAAATGAGCACTTGCACGAGTATTCTTCAGTCGCAAAAGAATTATTTAGATACACTCTTACGACTTGAATATTCACTCCTAATAGTTGCTATGACATCTTCAAATAAAATCTAGTTCATATACTCACTAGGAGCACTTAGATATGTTAACATTAGTAGATTATCAAGGTCAAAACATCTATCAAATTCTTTCCAAGAAAAATAGAATCATCAATATGTTGTGCATATACAATTTTCATTGACTGAAGTCAAACGTTTCTTTTCTATGCGTGTTCGTAATTCATGCATTATTCATAGTCAGTCATTTTGATATAAATAACCTGCTGGATTGTTTTCTGTTTGCTTTCGAAATTATTTTCAGAGAGAGATATCTTCTGAAAGATGAAATACATCAATTTCAATGTCATGTTTATCTGCAAGCATTAAATACTATGAATATTTGACTCGAATTTACGAGAATTTCTCGATATAAGATTATTTGTTCGGTTTCATTTATGTAAGTTATCTCTTCCAAAATGTTTAATTTGTCACGATCACATAGATTGAAATGTACAAATAAATGTGTGAGAAAAAGAAACGTCTTGTTTCCAACAATCATGATTATCATTGACAACTCAAGCAAATCAAGAATCATGTTCTTCAAATAGATTCGTTTGACAAACAAAATATTAGCCAATCAAAACTCGTCATAAGGAAAAGTTTGCCATAAGGACTGATTATAATAAACTTCCAAAAATATCATAAAATGTCTTATTTTCATTAGTTCTTTTCAATGATTTATATTTAACAAACAGAAAGCGGAAACAGTCTATTCTTTGACATAAACCATTTTAGATGCTAATTGCTTGTCGAACACATTCAATGACGCAGATATGTTAAGATCTGCTAGAAATTATTGCTATTTTAATCTAAAGATAATAAGACATTCTCTGGGAGCCATCATAGCAAGTGAGAAGTAATTCAAAACGATAATCAATGCCATGCAGGAAAAACTTCCATGATTTAATTCTACTCAGATGCGATTTCTCTGATTCGTACTTGATCAATCACGTCAAATGATTGTTGCCTAAAGTTTAGACTGCTCTCACAAGTATTTAGAACAAATTACCAAAAGCATATTAATCAAGAACAGCGTTTTAGGACATAATGAAATGGCACATCGATTATTCGATCAAGTTCTTTAACTGAAAAAAAGAATTGGTGGAACGTTCCAAAAGAGTCTCTGTGAGTGTTCGTATTGTTGAAGAGAAGTCTACTATTTATTACCTCACAGCCAAACTCTCTCATTATACCTCACGATGATGAAACTCTTGATGAAATTTCAGCGACTTTCAATGTATACTTGTAATCGCGACTCATTCAAGCACGGTTTATGTTTTAACGTTTGTCCTAATGGTGACTATCGATGAAAAGCTATTGGTCAAGTGCACTGAAAAGAAAAAAATCTACACACTTGAGATTTTATTGTCAACACATGATTTTCTTTTGAATTTCAATCAAACAAATCTAAATAGTGAATGAATATTTAAAACTACAGCGTTCAGATTATTTGAAATAAGTAAAAAATAAAGATCTACAAAGTCATTTAAGTATGCTGCAAAAGTGTTGTTTATCAACATCACATTAGACGCGAATTCTATTTTGTTGACAAGAAGTCAGACATTCAGACTCAACACTCATTATTTGAGAACATCTGTCGAAGTCCAATCTACAGGATGCGGGTGTGGGTGTGATTGAACTACAAATCCACACCCACACCCTCCAGTAGTTCAGAATTCATGGAATTCGATCACATCTGAAAATTTCAGATCCAGATCCTACTCAATGATCTCTATTGGCAGGTCCAAAATTTTCGAATTCGAACTATATTGTTCTCAATGAAAATTTTCTAAATTAAAGCATCGTTTTCTTTGTAAATTCTGTGTTACATTACAACTATTATTGTTTCATGATCAACCGTACATCCAATAAAAGAAAATAATTGTTTCATTGTACTTGACACTTTAATCTCTTCATAAATTCGTTAAAAGTTTATTTTTACATATGTTCAATATTCTACTTTAACTTGTCAAATTAAATTGTTTTGTTTAATATTGTCAGTTAGCTATGCAAATTTAGCTTGTATTTCGAAAGTTCAAAAAATAAGAGCATAAAGGTTTAATTTGGTTCGGTTTTTTTAAGTATTCGTCCTGGTGAAACATGTTTACTTTTTTTGAATTAAGGCCTTCTATTTTCTTGTTATGATAATACAATAGCTCAAACACGAACATCATCACGTAAAAATGACCAATATTCAAGTAATTACCAACATAAAAGAATTCACTCTATATCTCTTTTACCTTGATCATAAGATAAACGAAGAAAATCATCAAAATCAGATTATATTTAATGATAAAAATGTTCTAAATTTAATGATGTTGATCATGACCATCTTTCTAAACAATTAATTGTTTGTTCAACTAATGGTAAATAAATTAAACCAATACTTAAAGCAAGCTAGAAGAATAAATCATTATGATTAAATCTAATCTAATAAAAAGCAAAAAACTTTTACTTGAATAGATTGCACATAGATAGTAATGATATTATAAATTGTAAACATTAAACAAGTACATCACCACAATAGTATTTTTGTCAAGACAAAACTTCATGTAATAATTGTCGAGCAAATGCACAAATAGCTGTAACTTGTTCATTTTCATTTATATCGATTTTCATCATTTCATTACCAACACGAGTTGTTCATACTGAATGATTCGACTAGAAAAATTTCAAAAAAAATGATGTTGTTGTTTTTTATAGATTTATGAAATACTTTGAAATAATTGAGTTTTAAACAAATATTCATTAAAAATGTAGCAAATTGATATATTCCATTAACTAATGGATATCTAACTAAACATATTTTACTTAATTAAGATGTTATTCACTAGTATTGTTGATGTTGTAATAATATCATATAAAAATCAAAATATCCATTTTTGAAATAATTCTAGTGATTGATCAAACTAAAAATGATTAAACGAAATCTATGAAGAATATGACAAAGTACAACGTTGAAAATTTATTTCATAGGCTTTTGCGTAGATAAGAAAATGTGACAGTGTATCCTCTTTTTTCATTAGGAAAAAAAAAGACAATTACTTTCTGAAACCCATCTCACTGTTTTGTATTGAGAAATCCATTGTAAAATAAAACAAATACGATGTTCTCAATTTTCAATGAATCTTAAGTACTATAGAGAGACAGTTGGAGTCATTCTTTTTCTTTTATAGATCATTACGAATATAGCTATCTGTTAGAAGATAAGGGAACATAAATTAAGAAGTCGTATTCGTTCCTTCTTCACACATATTATCGATTACATCGAGAAAAAACAACAAACTTCAAGACTTCAATAGATATTAAAGACTATGACTTCAAGACTTCGAGATCAAAATCTCCGCTGTTTCTTCTCAATTCACATAGTCTTTCCTTCATAGAATGTAAACGTTCATAACAGAGATTAAAACGAAAGGGATTTGTTGCTTTCCATTTCACTCTTAGTTTTTTCCTTGCTGCTTCTCGACTTGACCTCGTTCTTATTCGTTACTGTATTTTGGTCTCTAACACTGTTGGATATTTGTAAATACAAGAAAAAGAGCAAGCATGATGCCACCCAACATATCTATCATAAAAATTTATACCGATTATCGTCTATATATGTTCTTTGTATACATACTTTTGTTATAAAGTTCTCACATGAGGAAATTTCTGAGACTTGATTCTAACTCTGCTCTGCTTCGTTTTGAGCTCTGGTTCATAGCCGAAAGTGATTGTACTAAAGTATTCTCTCAAGACTTCTTCGAACAGCTATCTCTCTCTCTCTCTTTTTCCTCTTGTTTATTTTGTTCTGCTCATATGGTAGATTATGTGACTCATTAGTTTTGGCTCTTTCTATCAGAATTATTAGGCAAATTGGAAGAAAGTATTTCAATATTTCAGCATTCATCATTACTGAGAAGTCTAATTAAACTCAACATTTTTGTTAACTTGCTTTATCTTACTGACAAAACTTGACCAAATTATAAAAAATTTAAAAATCTTTTGCTTTCACGGATCATATACCAAAGACCGGATCAATTCTAGTAGTACCATCATTATTTTCATCTTAAATATAATTTATAATCCAGAAAGCACGAAAGATTTATTTAAATTACTTCTGATGTTTCTTTATCAACACTTAAATCAAGTCGATCAATAATATGTAAATTTGACTAAATTATTTCATCATGTAATGATACAAGCATATTTTGCCGATCAAATATTGGATATACATTTTTATCAAATTCCTTAAAATAAAAAATAAACTCTAAATAAATATTTCTTATTTTTTTTTACTTTGGATGACGTAATATTTAAAATTGAGTTTAATAATCAAATATAATTTTCATAAGTGATTGTTTTATCAATAGACAGAAGAAATTTAGCTTTTTCTATCGATTTATCTGGTTGAAAATTTTCTAATTATTCTTAAATAAAAGATTTTAAACTGATGTGAACAACAACGAATAAGTACTTGAGTGACAATTTCTGTTAAAAATGGTTTATAAACATTCGGTTTAGTTTGTAAACCTAAAATCTTTTTAATTACAAATGAATATATTTTTGCTAGTGGTTTTGGTTGATATCGTGGATAATAATCGATAGTCATCACAGTTAAACGTTCAAGTGGACAAAGAAATTCTTCATCAATCTAAATAAATAAATAAAAAAAACTTAACATATACCATAAAGTTTACAAGCTTATATAAAAAAATATTTAGATATCAATAATTCGGATTTCCTATATTCGAAATTAGAAATTTTAATTCATCATTCTATAAATGAACTTTTTGTATTCTAACCATTGAGAACAAAAAAGAAAATTCTTTGGCCGCAATAGAAATAGCCATTTCAAGATAAAAGTTGAATAACTGAAGATTATTGAACCCACAGTTTTTATCAACCGAGTGATACAAAACTAATAAGAGACAATAGACGTTAGATAAATATCGTTGGATCCAAACATTTTCGATCCGAACTTAATTCACTGAAGTTTCTAGGGTACGAATTTGATCGATATAAAATTTGAGACCTGAATCTGACGATCTTTAGCGTTAACAAATGAATAGGAGTTTGACGCATGTTGGCTGTCGGTGTGGTTCTGTAGATAAAAACCAGGCCCAAAACCGTACCAGACCCATCTACATCATAAAAAAAGAATAAAATCTCTTTTGATAACTGTTAAGATTGATAAGAACATTTAAATAGTAGTGACACAGTCAGATATTATAACTGGAGAAGGTTAAGTCTCTTCCAAAAATTTGTGAACTTTCAATAGAAATGAGACGACTCTATATTAAAAAGCAAAATGTTTGATAGTTTTCAGTTGAATTATGTAGAAAAAATTTCTCTAGTTTGTGTTAAGTCAAAGAATTCAAAATGTTTTATCTTACTCTGATTCAATAAAAAAAATGCATGATTAGAAAGGCAGATAAGCCTGAATAACAAACAAAACCTTTGATAGCATCAAATTCTAAATTTTCAGTGATCTTTTTCAAGAATCGATTTTACGAGAATGCAACAAAGAACTTTCACTCATTTCAGACATCATATTTTTCTTTATCTTATTCACCCTTCCTCATCAAATTTCTTCAAAAGCACGTGTAACTCAGATATGAGTATCTACTGTAGAAATATTTGCCAAGTCGCTGAGACGTTGACAATTGCTCCCGTTCTTTTTAAAGAAGGGTCTATATAAATCCAGCTACGTTAATATCTTCAAGTCTACGAAATGAAAATTATCATCAATGAAGGACACTGAAGCGTGCACAAGGTCGTTTTCTTTAAGTTTGTTTACTTGAGTACTGACATTTATATCTAGTACTATCTCGAAAGTGAATGCATTCAGTATTCTTTTACCATTTTGAAACGAATAAAAAGTTATTACATACTGTATAAAAATTATATACTACCAAAAGTCGGACGTCAATAGATACAAAGTTTAAATGTAATTAAATTATTACAATGATTCTATTCATTTTCAAAATATAATTTTCACATTATAATTAAACTTATTTACAAGCAAAGTACGACAAATTTAATTTTATATGACTTTGTAATAAAATAAAATATTTTAAATTTTTTACTTATTAAAATAAATTTATTTTAAGTTAATCGCGTCGAACTTAATGTAATTGATGGACAAATTATTTTTTTTAAACTCATTCTTTTATTTTTATTTCTTTCAATAATTGAATATATTATTTTAGTATGTATTTCGTCAAGAAATGAAAATTGAAACTGTTGCCAAAACGAACTTTAATAATGTTTTTTTATTCTTTTTTTATATTTGTTAAAATAAATTCAGTTCCCAGCAGGAAACATGGCGATCAGAAACAATGGACAACTGGTATACTGTCAGGAGGATTTTAAGACGTTTTTTTCTCGCTTTTATCAGCAGATGCACTTTTCACTAGAGACATCTAAATAAAAATTTTGACTAGCATTGTAGATCTAGAATATTTTGATACAGCTTACTCGAGAGCTAAAAGAGAAGCATAATTATTATATATTCGTAACAGACTTTAATATATTCTTGTCATTCTATCAATAGGTACTTTAAAATAATAACTATAAAGAGTAGTACAAGCAAAACGCTTTGGGTGTAAAACACATGTTTACAGAAACTTGTCGGTAACGGGAAGTATTTCATTCGATTGTAAATTAAATGTAGAATTTTTTGAAATCTAAATTATAATGCAGGAGCTTTTGGAGCGAAATGATAATTTATGTGCATAATCTACTAATAAACTGTCGGTCATATAGAGTCTGACAATATACTAAAAGATAACTTCATTAAATTGAATTTTTAACACTAGCAACCTCTATATGATTTTTTTGGAAATGCTGGCAAAGTAGTTGATAGCATGATATCATGGACGGCATACAAGTTATTCTCATGTAAAAACAAAGAATAATAAATTGCAGTTGTGATGCAGTCATGTGTTTTGAAAAGGTATAGTTGATGAAAGTTCCTTGAATTTTTTTAGATTGAACAGCCCTCACACTAATCAAATACTAAGGTGATCCAAACGTTTCCGAAACTCCGGTATATCTATTTATGGAAACAAAATTTCATCCAGCTTCTACGCCATATATTCGAGGTAGTTATTGTGATGTTTCATGGGAAATTTCACACTTTTAACTCACCTTTTAGTATCCTTTCGAAGTAAATAATACGTATTGAATTGACCTCCTTGGTTATAATCCTTGCTAAATTATTGTAGCTGCTGATTATCTAGTCTGTCTTGAAAATATCCCAACGACAAAAATCCTGGAAGTCTAGTCTAAGGTGAGTACGCTTGGTGTGCCTTATCTTCATTCCTCTAACTTTTGAGTAAATAATGACATTATTTTACATGTTGCCCAAAACAAACCATTATGGAAACTGATCAAACTAGATCTTCAAGATACGTTTTTGTTCGATTACTTTTTTATTTGTCAATTTAAACAGTAACCAACAATATAAATAGAATTACTAGTCTCTATAGGAACTACTTGATGATTTTATTTTCTCTTTTAGAATAAAAAACCCAACGATGATAATAGCAATAACATTGAAGCATTACATGCAAACATACTCAACTACAAGAAAAAGATTGAAGAACGTGATAGTCAAATCAAAAAGCTGGTGCATCTTAATGAAAAATTACAGTTACATTTAAAAAAAATTGGTTACCATGTTAAAAATTTAGAAAAAGAAATTGTTGATCTTAAACAACAACTTAAGAACCAATATGAAGTTGATTCAAATTCATCACCTGAATCCAAAAAATGATGGATGTTACAATTGATTGTCACATTCAAAATATGATGTCATTTTTGCTATCAATGAACTTAAATTTAAAAAAGTCTTTAAATTTATAATATTGTTTGTTTACAAGATATTCGATAGTCTGATATCGATATTTTGTAACGTATGTGAGGGTGTGCGTTTTGAGGAGATGAATACTTACACTAAGATTTATACCCATACACACAACCACACCCTAGCTTAGCATCATTAAATGAAATGAATAGAACTTGTAGTATGCATGAACAATATACAGGAGAATCATCAATTTAAAAAAAACACATGCAAGAAGTACGACTAGTAGTCATACTACCATGCACATGCTTACAGCACAAAATGATCAAAAACGACAAAAACAAAAGCTTGAATTAAAAATCCGTTTAGCTGAGTTATGAAAACGTAGACCATGGAATTATGGAACATTAGTTGAACAAGTTTCAAATTCACTTGAAGTAATGAATAAAAATGTATGAAACAAGAACTCTATTTAAACACAATTTAAGATATAATTATCTAAGACAATTAAATCAGTATAAAATTGATTCAATGAAATAAAAAAAAAAGTATTTTTAATAACAGTTTTGAAATATCAATTTGAATTCTTCTATTAATTGACTAGTTCAACGATTAACTTTATTAATTGATTGTGATTATATTTTTTTTTAATTTTCACTATTTACTGTGGTATATTAATTAAGCAATATAAATGAGGAAAAAAGAAATTGTTTATGATTTTATTAAAATTTCAAACATAGGATGTAGAATACACAATAAAAAATAGTAACAATGAATAAAAGTTTATATTGTAGAAGATATTATCTTAGCTTTTAGATATTCTTTCATAGGCGTTTTTTTTTCTGTTGAATTTTTACAAAAAGTGTTTTTTTTATTTAATTGTCTGAGGAAATATTAGTCTTCAAAGTATTCAGCATTTCGAATATGAATTGTCATGCAATCGACACATTTCAATCATCAATTTATACGCTTCTAGGTGGGCCTTACTGATTGCCGCTTCATACTCGACTTGACACGTTATAAAGCTCTTTGCAGAGTAGTTCTGAACTTGATACGGACCATACCTAGTGGAACACTTGCGTATCTGCTCAAGTATTTGTTTCTCTGTTATTGATGACGCCTCATTGCAATAATCATGAAATTCCATGTGTTTACCCGTTTCATCACGTTGAGCCGACAATTCATGGAAGCGAGCACGAACTAATTTTACCATTTTGTTCGATTCGTCGATACTCATCGGTGATAAATCTGAGTGAGAAACTCGAAAAACATTATGCATTTCATCATTATCATCCGTGTAACAGGTGAAAACACCAACAGCATCCTGACGAAAAGCTATGCCAAGTAATGCACATAATCCAAGAATCATTGTACGAGTGCATGTTATCAGCAGACAAGCAAATGGTTCGTTACCCCAGTTGTCAGTCCATGAAAAGCTGCTTTTATCCAACATTTGATATTTGATGTGCAACGATTTGAAGAATTTCTCGACTACGTCAATTAATTTGACATGAGTTGTGACAGCTGTTTTTTGGGTAGTACTCTTTCCCTTATCACCAGGAACAGTAGCCAGGTGCATGCGATAAGTTTTCATTTGACCGTCATTGCCAATTGATACTGGTTCATTCTTTATTGGTCGCTGTTTATTGAATTCGTCAATATCGATATTACAAGAATAAGATTGTTCACTTGAGCAATGAGTCTACAAAATATAATTGTCTTGATTCTTGCTTATGCACAAAATAATTAGTATAATATAGCTTACCTGTTGATCTTTGGATAAAGAGTGCGCCGAAGTGACTGCTTCTGGAAATAGATATGCCACTGATGTCATCTCTGAAATCGGCGGGGTTTTCAAGTCTTTTTTGCATTCTTCTAGATTTAATTCAAAATTTTCGAACAGTACAGAAAGGTCCACATTCTCCGGTTTCGAGAAACCTGATGCTTGAAGATCAAATTGTTCATCATTAATGTAAGACATAGATGAGTTAATTTCTGAAACGATAATAGCAGACCACTAAATTGAGTGAAGATGAATTTTGATTTGTGATTCACAGAAACTATGAAGTATGAGAACGCACGCTCGTTGATCTTTTCATAGCTAAATTTATTTTTCTTTCTACATGCGAACACTGTATATTTTTTTTTACCTCTCAGTGATTATGCGGTGCTGTGTGATAAAGGATGAACGACGATCAGGTTATTCTTTGTCCGTAAACCTTTAAGAACAAAGGTTATGACAACAAAATAAATCATTTATGAGTAGATATGTAAGGAACCTGACGCTTCCAAATTCGATCACTGAAATGCCGAGTTCAATCATTCACATAGTGGTAGCAGCAGGAGTAATCAGTAGGCGGAAGTGAAGATAGGAAGTTAGCTTATGAAGATTTTCTATTAAAGAAATCTCATTCTATTGCGCCCAGTACAGCTGATTTACTCAATGAGAATATGATAAAACGAAATGAATTATTTTTTTATTTCTCTTTACTATTTAAGTGAGACGAATTTTCAAGTTTTTATCCTATCAAATCAATCTTTCTCAGCGTAAAAGTCCTAGAGTGATTATGTTTTCTTTTAATAAGTATTCAACAAGAATAAGCTTTTCGAAATGCAAGGAATACACATCGTAAATTCTGAAGTCTTTTGGTTAGATTGTTTGATGGCTCATGAATCTATTTTCTACAAATAATGTTTTATGATCAGATACTTAAAGTATATTCACATGTTTTTAATCAATTCGAAGTATGAAGAGAAATTCGAATGGAAATGATCATCATGTGCTGATTTCATAAAGTAAGTTTTATATGATTCAGGATTCAAACATTCGTATTACTCTATCGGTTGACTCTGCAACTCGCTCTTCTAATCACATAATGTAGGATAGATAAAACGATAAAAAAAAAGATATTCGTTCGAAATAAAAATCTCTCTGAAATATGAAAACTCTTTCTTTCGTGTGAAAAAAGTGAGATTAACAGTATTTAGGGACCTCACTTACAATAAAAACATCTTTCATAGTATTTTATTTAGAGTTAAGTTGTCTACAATGAAGAATCCTGCCGACAAAGGCTTTTGGAAATCATTTTGTTGCTCGGCAATGTGAAGTATAGAAGCCTGGTTTTCTTGCAAATATATTTAAAAAATAGCATTTTAAATATATAGAAGAGATTTAACAGAAATGTATCTGTACACAAAGTCAAGCAATTTGGTGATTTCACGAGGAAGACTTACATCTAAACTCATTCAGACTAAATTCATCAAACCTAAGTGACTTGAATTTGAATTTTCATTTGGAGTAATTATGTCTATGGGCACGCATATTCTGATCGAAAAAGGCTCATTCTTGTGAATTTGAGAAACGCTTTCATAATTCACTAATAAATTGGGTGATGTGGTAGTTAATTAGAAAGCCTAATGAAAAAATCGTATTTTATACGATGTTTTTCAAAAACGAAAGAAAACAAATGTTGGAAATCTTCTGGTTCACTTACCGTTTCATCATCATAAAGTTTTTCTTTAACAGGTAGAATGTGTATTTAAAGTATAGAGCAAGGAAGTATGGAAAATACCAACTTAACAACACAAATGCTTGCTCTGCGAGGCAGAGAAGACGGGAAAATCGCAGACTCATTTTAACAGAAAAAGAAAATGAGAAAAGAAAGAAAATCTAAGTAAAAGTTTTTTCTGCCGGTTGACTCAGGAAGAAACAAAATGGTGAAATGTTTATGTACGCGAGCAAAAACGCCTCTTTTCCCAGAAAATCGTGATAAATGGCAGAAAAAGTTATTAATACTTTTGACGCTTCAACCCTTTACTTCTTCTTTGAGAGTGTAATACATATTGCATAATCGTTGAACAATTATCTAATTTGATATATTCGAAATAAATAGTGTTTAAAGTTTACAATCATCATTTTTTCTCCACTAAATAGTTCTATAAATGTTCAGAGTAGTTTAATTCCTATCTTTTAGGGGCTGTGCTCGCACTTAATATTTAAAATCTTGTGAATTTGTAATGTTTATTGTACCAGAGTACATGTATGAAAAAGCCAAATTATTTCGTACTTTCATTTATCTTTCCTACGTGATGATTTATTTCAAGATCAAAATCCAATATCCGCTATTATTGACCCATAGGAAGAAAAATGTTCCTTTCACTAAAGTACGAAGAGATGTATGCTTCATGATTGTGCAGAACGACCTGTATTGTCTATATATTTTTCATAGGAGACTGACAGTACGATCTTTGAAATTATTCCAGGACAGCATATTTTTCTAGATATTTTAGCATTATTTTATGTCTCTTACTGAGCTTTTTTCACACCAAAACAATTGCGCTTTTTCGCATCGGAATCAAGTGGTGATAAGTGATATTGCATCATTCTATATAAAGGAGATATGATCTGTGGGCAATCTGATTGACTATCTTCTCATCGAACATACTTTCAAGTGTTCACACAAATTGGTCATGTGAATCGAAAATAGCATAATATCAAAGGAGGACGCGTTAACTGTACGATAGAATTGATTTCTGAAGTGATTTTCAAAAAGGTTCAATTTATGGATCAACCATCCTCTGTCCTATTTAATTATGTTCAAAGCTCGAATCATACGATAAATTATAGGTGTTGAAATATTTCCAAGAGAATATTGTTACATAGGAATTTTCCACCAAAAACTATCAACTTATTGGCAGTAATAAAAAGTAAAATCGGAGAAAAAAAGGAAGAAAAAAAAAGTAATTCAGTTCAGACAGCGCATTCATTTTGTCGTTCAATTATTCATGAAAAGAAGATTGCTCAAGAACTTCACATTTCTAAACACTCGACAGAGCATCTAATCCGATGAATGAGTGAATATTATTCGGGGGTGTGGGTGTGAGTGGGTGTGGGTGTGGGTGGGTGTGGGTGTGGGTGTGGGTGTGGGTGTGGGTGTGGGTGTGGGTGTGAGTGTGGATGTGTAGGTGTGGGTGGCTGTGGGTGTTCATGCCGCAAAAATCCATACACCCACGCCACATCTACATCACCCACAACCACCCCCACACCCACACCCAGACTCACACCCACACACACCCACGCCCACACCCACACCCAGACCCACACCCATCCACACTCTAGGTTATTACAAAGGTTCTCCTGACTGGATAATTTTATTACATACAATTTTTCAATAATGGATGGCAAAGTCATCATTTGAAGCTCGACCGAAAATATAACAAACAGAAACGGATGATAATACCATTTTGAATGTGAAACAGCAATCTATCTTTCGTGTCATTGAAGAGTAGAAGGTTCGAGATATGCTCAGAAAATGTGTGAAGATAAATACTGGCACAACAGTATATCATTCTGTTAAGTTGCATAAATTTAAAATCTGAAAACTAATACACTGAAAAATTTCTCAGAACTTTTCTTATTGGTATATATTTGTAACCACTCAAGTAATTTTAATAAACAAAAAGTGTTTTTAAAGAGTATTTAAATGCATATTTATTGTAGAGAAATAAAGATTCTAACTTAAGAAACAAGAGATATAAATTCGAGAATATCATCAGACTTTTTCAGAAACTTTTTAATAATGTGCGATTCAGAAATAAGGGTACCGATTGTCAATCTCTATTTCTCTTGAATAAAAGGATGGTAATAGAAAACTTTTGTAACCAAACCAAAGAGCTTTTTCATCTCTTTCCAATCATATATAACTTATTTTTATGAGACGTTCATAAATAAAATGATGGAATAGAAAATAGAATTATTCTTAAACAAGAATCCGCACTTTCTGTGAGATACACAAAAACAGTGCAAAATTTCGATCCCTACATCTCTTTGATGATTTTTTTATCATTATATTTCGAAATGAATATTTTTTTTATCAGTTGATAGGAAATTTTCTCCTCTTTCAAATAGTCTTCAATTTACGTCTGTCAAATAATTTGTAAATGAAATGAAACGAGAAATACTGACACAATAAATTTGTAATTTTTATAAGAAATCGTAAAAAAAAACCTTATTCGACAACAATTTATTCCAGTTTTGTGGACTCATCAAGAATATCATGTAAAACGGTGATTACTTTGACTATTATGAAATCGTTAAAAACATTTTGTACAAGACGAAAGAAATCTGTTTAAGTTCTAGTTATTCAACATTAAAAAATTACTTTTTTTGAGAACCAAAATCACATGCAGTAGACTTCCTTTGTACTCCTTGTTCCTCCATGAGTTCGAACTTTTATTTTTACATAATAAGTAGACTTTTAAATGTTCTTTAAAATGACTATTTATTTGTTGAAATTGCTGAAGTAATTGCGAGGATAAATCGATAAAAAATTTTCTGAGACCTTTTTTTTCATATCTCAGATGCAATCGTATCAAACATGTTCACATTGAATAAGTTGTTTCTGTATAGCACCTTTATTTTTCGACATTGTCCCCTTTCGACGTTTTGTAACGGCCCTGAGTTAATATTTGTAGATGATAAAATTACTGAGAATGAGCACTTCGAAAATCAACTAGAAGCTGAAATATTATATGTGAATATGGAACCAAAGAAAAAGCAAGTGCAATCTTACTTTTCGGTTGTCTCGTGGTATAGCCTGCTGTCCGACGGATGCTATGCTGCCGAATACTTTTCTCAGAATTATGATTAGCTGTAGTTTGGAACGGAAGACGAATCATACGCACATCAAAATGTGCGTGTAACTGAGAATGAATGTGTAGGTGTGGACCATCTGTTCATCCACATTACATCTATACAACCAGCATCCACAACCATAGCCTCAAAGAAAAACCTTCAAAACAAAAATCCATCCCCAATCACTCTGAAAAAGAATGGAGTAGATCTGATGAATTTTTTGAGCCTTTAAAAGCTTTGGTGTTTTACTCAAGAGGAAAAAGCAGATTTTAGCATCCAAAATCTATTAAATTTCTCAAAATCTATTAAAATTTTAGAATCTTTAAAATCTGCTCTCGCCTCCTTGATTCGAATGCAACATGTCAATTTCTTTGAAGTTCATGAATGCTTTACTAATCCTTCTCTCATGTTTAAAGAAGACTCATATAAAGAAGTCGAAAGAAGCGATTGTTTACTTCACGAGCATTTTACATCGTCGTTCAATCTTACCTCTACCTGACTATTCTTCATCTGGATTGAGTCTTTCCCAAAGACTTCAACAGGTAAACGTAAATCCTCGACTTTAATTTAAATAATTAAAGAATACAATGTAATAGTTCCATATCAGTTCGTCTAAGCCGAGCTTGTGCATCAGTTCAACACATTTCAAAAATAATTGACCGGCTTTCGTTTTAGGAGGTTGTGTGTGGAGGGATAGAATGTGCGGTGTAGGCGAGTGTACAATTTCAATTCATCGACATTCAACACCACACCGACCCTTATATTCAAAATAAATGTAGGTATGCGTTTTTCATTATTTCTATTTATTTTGAATATAAATTATCGATAATTTAATTTACGCATGAATTACGTTGAAAGTACATTTGAATTAAGACCCCAAATATGCCACTCATCTAACAGAAAAAAATGAAAATTATATTGTATCTTTGAAGTGAGCATCAAAATCGGATTAGAAAATTTTATTAAGAGGTTTATGAGTACGGTTCAACACCGAATCCGGGTCCAGAAACTCTTGGACCCGGTGGACTCTAGTGTGTAAGTGTGGGTGTGGAGTGGTTGTTGTGAAAATGGGTGTGTATGTGGGTAAGGATGTGGGCGAAGAGAAAGCCGACACCTACCCATACTCATGTCCACACACACACACCCTAAATCACGATGAATTAACCATAGAGCGAAACCAAGTCAGATTCTTTTTTGACTGGTTTTAGCCTCTGCTTGGCATAACTGCAAAAGCTATCGCCAACCACACTATTAAATGAACACATATCAAGCGTACAGTATATATCACAAGCGATTGGAATCGTTGGCTTATCATGAGATGAGAGAACTGTAACTTTTTCAAATATTTTTCAATTGATATTGACGATTTTGAAGCGGTCATTTTCTGACGACAATTTTTAACCTGTTGTCGAACAGGATTAACTACATATTTTTCAATTCTTTTGACAAGATTTATTGATATATGTTACATTGAACGAAGACTTCAAATGTCCATGCATCATTTGAATTCTAAACTCTCAAAGAATTCGACCAGTATTCGATATTTCACGATGAAGAAGTTTGTTTTGTCGTAGTTAGATCCCCTTCTTTAAATGAGAATAATAATCTCCTTTGTTCTCATCAATAATTTGTCGAGATAATTTAGTAGACATTGCAGTACATATACACTGATTTTGACTCAATAGAATACTGAGAAATCCTTGTATCATCGATTTACGTTAGATGAAACAACTTAGACAAAGAAAACCACATCATCGCTTGTTTATTCATGTAGTTTTTCTGGTTCAATCTTCCTACACTCTAATATCCATGTGTGTAGTTTTCTAAAAAAAAGAAAAATGTCAGTTTTGCCTTGAAAGATGCTATCATTGACTAAAGCTCTCCTAGCAATATGAGGCAATCTCTAGCTATATCATGAACATTACTGAGTTGAACTTTTATGTGGATATACTACAGACTATGACTGTACTATTTGGAAAAATGCAAATCAAAAGACTACTTCTTAGTGAAGTTATACTTGAAACAAAAATCGTACGAAAACTTTTGTGCACTTTTGTATTTCTGATAAATATAATTATTTGAGATGAGTATAGTGTTGACAAGAGTTTTTGATTTGAATGCTCACAAAATTAAGTGTTAATCAAGTTTATAAATGAATAAAAAACTACTTCTACTTATCATCAGTCTGCATATCAATCCATCCAGATAAAACTATTTCAGATTGATTCAAATGAATAGCATCTCATATTTTGTTTTTTTTCAGAATAAATATTCGATAGATTAAGTTTTAAATCAAACAGAAAAAAAGAGATTATTTTTTGCATTTCTAAACAACTGAATTCTATTGTGAGAAAAAAAGAGAGCAATACACTGCAAGAGAAAATGCATAAACTTCTTGTTACAATCACATTTCATTTGTTGTCTTTTTTCTTTTTAACAATTTCTCTCTATGATATGGTCAGCCATACTTTTTCTTTGTTTCTAATTAAGAGTTCATTTTTCATTAGAGAAAAAAGATTTTTTTTTATATTGGTTCGTTTATTCTATAATAATGAAAAAAATACAAAGAACAAGAAGAGACATTTTTTGTCATAAATAAAAATCAAATAAAATCATATTGTGCAATAACGTGAATCACAGATAAGCATAGGTGGCAGAAAATAAACATAAAAACTGCTACAGTGGACAACTGAAACAGGGATCAAGATCAGACACATGAAGCCACCTGTCTCAAAGCATACATCGCCACTAACTATTGTTCCTACTATTGATGGTAATGTTCCATTGAACCATCCTGTTAGAAAAGCACCACAATGATTTACTCCTGGTGATGTCAGGGGAATTATAGTACCACCTGTACCGACAAATCTAATCCATCTACCACCAATACTTGTATTGAATAAGGGACCATTATCGCATATACCACCTACTCCAGATGTTGCTATATTGCGCGAAGGATCATTGACAACTGTGTAGGATAAACAAGGTGGATCACCACTAGCTCCACCATTCCCAACATCATAGATTGTTAATGCTGTTGTACCTAAACATTCGTCAATTAAATCAATCAACTACAATATTATTTAGAGAAGATATTTGTGCAATAGAGAATTATTTTCTCACAGCTTTCTAACTAGATTGATGAGATGAAAAATTCTCTTTTATTTTTATAACATGTCAAGCAAGTGATTCGTACTAGAATATGAATTGACATTGTTAGCTGTTATTGATGATGTTGATTTATCTGTTATACTGTGTGAATTTCGAACAACAATCATCATAACTATTATAATAATTATTACCAAAATCAGTAGAGTAATAATACTGATAATAATTAATTTTTTCCGTTTGCTATTACTGTGTTGTCCAGATTGCGATACAAACCTTATTGATTCAAGAAAATTTTTTTCTTAAAGAAAACTTGTTTCAAAATAAATCTTACTTTAAAGTTTTTGATAGTTGTTTTGAATAGTTATTCGATGATGATGAGATAAACTCAGGAGTAATTTCTTCAAGCGACATTGTTGAAGAAAGATCACTTAAACTACTTACAGCAGACAGTAGCGAATGGAAGATTTTTTTGTTTATTGATCAAATGGCTCCAGTCTCAATAAAGTAATGTAATTCAGCAATACAACTCACTGTAATAGTATTATCATTCGCTGTATACTAATGCAAGAATATACTAATTTGCTTTGTAATTTATAGGATTATTAATAAGCAAAAAAAAAACTCAATATTGTAATTATTCAGGTTTTGATTATTTTGAAAAAAAAACTTTCAATAGAGACGACTCATAAGGTTTCTTTTTTTCTCTTACTTTCTACTATTGTGAACTCTAGATCAAAAGCACACCTCTTCATCCGTTCGTTTGAAATACGGTTCATATAGATGATTTGTTACTATGAAATCATACTGAAAGAATGCTTCAATAAAAAAAAAATCTTTTCCATTAATTTATATTTGTGTTATGTCATGTTCTCTCTTGAAACAAAGAATCTTTTATTGTTTGTCAAGAATATTGAGAATCATAAATTGATTATATTAACATCAAGATGTTTTTTTTTTTTTATTGAATTCAAACCGAAATAGTATCTAGATCAGATGACAATTTTCACATAAAAATAAAATTCTTTTCAATAAATCATTAAAAACAATTAGTTTTATTCTCTATTGCTGATTTCATATTGCATTTTTTGATTCAAGAACATTAAAATGAATACTATCAAAAGTAACTTATTTCCCAGGTTATATGAACTATGATGAATGTATTCGGTATGAAATGAATTCGGAAGAAATTGAATTTCACACTTGAATAGACTGTTAAAATCATTATCTCACAGTTAATATATAAATAGAATTATTGATTAGTTTATTTTATGTCAGAGTCTGATCATCAGAATGGTGGCCAATAGGTACTTTGAAAAGTCAGCAATATTATGACCAAGAATTACATGATAAACAACAAAATTTTCATTACTTAGCAACTGTAATTATGATACAATACAAGCTAATATTATCCTAGTTAATATACAACAATAATGATATTGGAAGAAGAGAAACATCTTACGTTTTGAAGAAATAATTTAATGTGCGATATCAATATTGTGGCGTTTTCTTTCGAGTATGAAAATAATGATATTGAAAAACAAAATAAACAGGAAGCTCCATTGAATTCTTCATTTTTTTAAAAAGTAATCGATTATGTTTTCGTTTGATGAATGAGATACGACGTAGTAAGTATTATACTTCACTCTTTTAATAAACAGGATATAAAATATATCTACAGCAAACAAAATATTCCACAAAACATCGATGTTTAATATATTGTTGAAATGTTAATAATCCTATGAAATAACAGTCGAAGAAGAAAATTATATTGTTGAATCTGTCAAAAAATCGAATGATCTCAAAAATGGAAGACTGCGCAACTATTCAACATAGTTTAAAAGAGAAAGAATTTTTTTTGAGAAAGTTTCACAAAATGAAAAATGAACATCAGGAGGAATAGTCTCGCATTATACAGTTGTAAATGATAGATTTTAGTGCAAATTTCAATATCAAATCATTTTCCTGACATGAAATAGTATGACATATAAATGAAGGAAAACCTACTTCTACTTATTATTAGTATGTATATTAATCCACCCTATTAAAATTATTTGAGATTGACTCGAACGAATAGTATCTGATATTGTATTTTTATAAATGAAATATTCAATAGATTAAGTTTTAAATTAAATCAAAACAAAGAATTTATTTTTTGCATTTCTTAGCAATTGAATTCTATTTGAGAAAAAAAAAAGACGCAAACACATTGTAAGAGAAAAAATATAAACATCATATTACAATCACATTCCATTCATTATTCTTTTCTTTTTATAAATGTCTTTCTTCGATATGGCAGCCATATATTTTTATTTGCTTTTAATCAGCTGTTCTTCTTTAGTAGACAAAAATTTATTTTTCTGTTATGTTGATCAAATTATTTGATAATAAAGAAAAAATAAGAGATATTTTTTGTTGTAAACAAAAATAAAATAAGATCATATTGTGTCATAACGTGCATTACACATTCTCAAAGGTGGCAAACAGTAAACATAAAAGCTATCATTAGTTGACAACTGAAACAGAGGACAAGATTGCATAAGCTATGCCAGGTCCGTCGAAGCATACATTCCTACTTAATAATTGTTCTTACAATTGTCGTCAGCATCATAGATCATTGATATTAATATAAACTTGTTTTTGATGTGTTGCTTTCGTTCGTTGTAGAATGAGAATCGAGAACAGTAAATTTTATGATAATCATTATAATTATTACTTCGATGAGTAGAGCGATAATACTGAACAAAATAATTTTTTCTTCGTGTGATATCGAACCGTTAGGTACAATTCATTGATGATCTTTATGATTGAAAGAAATAGCTGAGATGTATTCTTGAAAATATTTCTAATTAAATTTTATTCTAATGCTAATGATTTTGGTTCTATATATTTATCTGATGGTACTGGCATTCTTTTGGAAGATGGATCAATCGTATGTGATTTTTCAGGCTATGGTGTTGAAGAAATAGTATTTTTATCAGACTGCTATTAACAATTTGAAAATTTTTTCTATTCATTATTAATTAAAACGAAATATTAATTTTTCCTACTTGATGTTAAAATACGGCGAATTAAGTTCAATTGAATCTTCATTCATTGTATGGTGTTTAAAAAGAATTTCGTTAATAAAAGAAATATTCAAGTATCCATTTTTGTCGTTGAACCTTTTTGCTAAAAAACGAACGTCGATCGAAAAGATCGAAGATCTTTATCAGAATTCTCGTTTTGTTTGAGAGAACTACCAAACACCCTTTTAATTATACAATTGAAGGAACATTCAAAGATGACTGATCTGTATGTTAATATATTGAAAAAAATCTAGTTACATAAAAAAAGACCAGTTCGTTTATTGATTTATTCGTCCTATATTATAGTCTTCTTCAGCTGTATAAAAAGATAGTCGAGAAAATTTCTTTCATCAAAATAAAATGCAAATATTATGAAGTTAATTCAAACAAAATTTTGTATTCTTGTATGAATGATTTTTATATGTATTCGTTCACGAAGATGTTACTTTATTAAGCCTTTTCCTCCTTCAAAAATGTCAATTTCACTTGAAATTATCAATCATAACTAAACTTACGTCGGCAGAGCAAATTGTCAAAGACTTTTCGCTTGTATTTCATCACTGTAAAATAAACCATGACTCATTGTGTACGTTTTTATTTTTGATAATATTTTCTTTATCATATTCATAATCATGATAACTACAATATGTTTTGAAGTGGTTTAGATCATTTGAATAATACTGCTTTTACATAATATATATCGATTTAGATGAATTGATAGATTTTTTTAAGAATTTATTTTTGTTGATATCTTGGCAGATGCAATACTCAGGTAAGGATTGCAACGAAAAAGTGTCATTAAAATGGTACAAAAAGTAATAAAAATAATGGAGAAAAGCTGTCACAAAAGATATCAAAAACTGGATTTTGTGACAGTTTTTCACTATTATTTTTATTACTTTTCAAGCCATTTTAATGGCATTTTTCTGTTATAATCTCTGCTAAAGTTTTTCTGTCCTTTCATCTAATTCCTTGTTTTTACTTGTCAAATATAGTTATTCCCATCATTTTGGTATGGCTCGTAAACATTAGATGAAATTGAGTGCACAATATAAAATATTATTTTTCTTAACTTTCTCAAATACTGCTATACACACGAGAACTAAGATGTTTTTGCTTTACTTGGAATCTATCGATCATTAAATGATTTACATGAACCTACAAAGCCTATCTAGGAATGAATAAATCCGAATATGCCAATAAAATTTACACAATTGTATTAGATAGATTCGACGAAAATGCTAAGAGATACTTTAAATCATAAAGAATAGTATATTCTAATCTAAATAAATGATGTACGCACTATAAGTAATCGTACAAGAACATGATTTGAAAACACAGACACAAGCTATTGTACCATTCTGATTTTCACATCTCTATCAATATAAATAATTTTTGCAACTCTTCTTGTTGCCATTGATGTATTAATTAACTTAATTTGTGGTCGCAATTAGAAAGCTATGTAAATGTATGCGTTTCTTAGAAGGATATGAAAGAATAAAACAATATGGATTAGTAATTAGATATATACATAAAAGAAAATTTCTGATTCTAAACGAATAGTTTTCTTTTTGTATTCTTGCAAAAGATTCTATATGATCACATCAATGAATTCAGCTGAGAACATATTATAAGACATTTTATCCAAAAAATCAAGAGAAACATATTGGCAAAACATGTGTCTAGTTTAATCCTCGAACAAAAAGTAGTGAAGATTACATTTATGTGTATAGTTCATAAAATTTTAACTAAAACAATTTACAAATTTCTTCTTTTTATACGAGTCAATAATCCATTTTTAGGCTTGATTGTAATACCTATTATTTCAGGTGCATAATTTTGACCTGGTACAAGTTCAAATTCACAACGTTGTACGAATAAAGCCAACATAACTTTAGCTTCAAGTATTGCAAAATTTTGTCCAATACAATTTCGTGGACCTGAAGCAAAAGGAAGATAAGCACATGAATGAGCTAATTTTGGTTTGAGTCCTGTCACTGGATCACGTATCCATCGTTTATAGTCAAATTTGAGTGCTTGAGGCCAATATTCTTCGCGTCGATGAAGAGCATAAGTATGAACCATAATCATGGCACCAACAGGAATATGAATTTCACCTTTTCCACTATTACTACCAATAACATGTTTTTTAGTACATTCACGAACGAAAAATGAAGCTGGTGGATAAAGACGAAGAGTTTCATAGATAACAGCTTCTATTACTTGAAGATTAGTCATATGTTCATAATTAGGAATTGTTCCATTAGGTAAAACACGATCAACTTCATCACGACATGCTTGTAAGATATCATCATGTGTCATCAAAATATAGAAAGCCCATGTCATTAATGTTGCAGTTGTTTCATGACCAGCAAGTACAAATGTGAGTGCTTCATCTTTTATTTGTTGATCAGAAAATCCTTCTCCTTTATCATCGACAGCCGATAAGAGAAGATCAAGAATATCTTGACCAGAACAAAGACTCATAGATTTTCTACTTCGACGATCAGCAATAGTTTGATCAACAAATTCATTTAGTTTTTTTGCACCATCATCTATAATATTTTTACCCCAAAATGGTAATTCAGAAAGAAATTTAACTTGATTAATCATATGAAGAGATCGATAAGTAATAACATCTTTTACATCATTAAATGAATAACAAATTATTTCTTTGGCATGAGGTATTGTTTCAAAACTTTGACCAAAAGCACTCGATGCAATAATAGAAAGAGTCAATGCATTAAGTTCATTATCAAAATCTATTTCATTTTTCGAAAAAGAAGTTAATAAAAGAGAATCAATTGCTTTTATTGTTTCGTTTGACATAATTGGTATCATTGATTGTAAATTAACAAAATGAAAAGCTGGATTAAGCATTTTTCGTGCTCGTTCATGCTCTTCACCTTCACTAACTAAAAGATTATGAATACCAATAATTGGTTTCACAATATTGATAAGATCAGATGGTTTTCGATAATTTTCAGCTTTTGATCTACCTAATACATCAGCTATTAATTCAGCTTCTAAAAGTACTAGACGTGTCAGAGGACCAAAACCAAATAGAAATCGACGACCATTTTTTTGTGAAAGTTCATGAAAATATTCTACTCCTTTATTTTCTTTACTAGCACGCATCATATCAAATAATTGACCAACCAATGGAATAAATGGTTCACCAGGAATACCTTGTGCTTGAAAAATATTATATAAACGTTTTTGAGGATAAATTAATTTGAGATAAACAAATGCAGTAAGTGCAAGAATGCATCCAAAAATAATATATATGAGATATAGTAAAGCCATTGTTTTACCGATATATAATAATTAAAATATCAAAAGTTGGATATAAAATAGATCAATATTAAGAATTAAACTATAAAAAGAAAACATGAAAATTATATTGTTGATTAAGGTTAAATAAATGTTGACTTACTTTATAATTTTTTTTACGTCTTGTTGTGTGTTGAATGAAAAAATGTGTCACTCGTAGAGTTTAAATAGATACGTAAAAGAAAGAAAGTACGTACGAAAGTATTCAGGTCAAAATACTTTCGTACGTACTTTGACGTAGACGTGATGACTAAGACATTTTTCATTCTGTATGCTTCTAGGGTAATAAAATGTTTGAATAAGAATCATAGAATGGCATGAATATCGATATAGCTATTACTACAATAATGCCTGTGCAATATTGATTAAAGAGATTTTATTTTGAAAACAAATTGAAAGAAGTATTATTTATTTCATTTTTCATAATTTTCTATTGTTGAAGAATATTTTATATTGATAGATTCTCATATTAACTAATCTCTGAATAATACTAACAATGGAGGGGTTTACATTGGCAGTCGAGAAAGTGGCACATGTTCGGGTCAAATGAAAGCTCTCAACGGCAAATTAACAAGGTTAAAAGATTAGCTGCTAATGGCTTGCCTAGAGGGAGATATTTAACTTTTAAGTGTAGGTATAAAAATGAATCAGAAAAGGTTTTCTCCACTATTATAAGGACAAAACATAGTATTGTTCGGGGCGATTATAGGGTTTGTAGGTATTCTCTTTCATATGGCCCGAACAACACTATGTTCTGTCCTTATAATAGTAGAGNATAAGCTTGAGTGGTAAAGTGATTGGACCGGATTTTCTCTGTCCCAAAGAGCCGAACGGTCGAATGAGCGATAATATCAAGGATAATCTTTTCAAAGCCAACAATGTCGTGGTAACATGCAGTGCCTCGGGCAAAACTCACGAGCTCGTTGGTGGAGTCGGTATGGGTGTGTGTAAGTGTGAGTACAGGATTAGTGACAACACCCACATCCCTGCGTGACCTTTTATGTCAAAAATGTACTTTGTATGAGTTATCAAATGCGATCAACTGATGAAAATCTTTCCTATAGATGGTGTTCTTGAATGATTTTCGTAACACGAAATATCCTTTCGAGAGTGATGACTTTTGCTCGAGAAATGTTGTCAAATTGGTTCATGTTCTAAGTTATTAAAACAGGCGCTGATTGCAAGAAATACTATGGAACAACCAATAATCATCGCTAGGTGTGGATAGTCTTAACCGTACAAATATCCTAAACCCAAATACTCATGCAATTCATATCAATAAATAATCAACAGATCGTATTTTTTTCAAGTTGTTCCAGTCTCAAAATACCAGAACGCGAACTCGCGTTACTCATTCTCAAGGAGTTAATCGATGTTTATAAAGAACTGTTACAAATTCTAGTTCTTATTATTATTCATCATAATTATCACAGTTTTACTAATAAGGATTGCTAAATTGAAATTCTTCATCATTGATTACGTATAGTGAAGTTTTCTACAGCATTATGATCAATAGTATTTTCTTCGTATCAGTCAAAGTTACTATTATTACTACCTATGTACATGATCATTTGATTCATACCCACCCACCTACACTCCCAAAAAAGCAATGTTTCTCTATGCAGTTCTTATTTTTTTTCGACTTATGCTACTGATTTTTGATTCATAGGGAATTTTAAAGTTATAGACCAATTAGCTGTAGACATGAACGACAATTTTCTCTAGAGGATAGAAAGTTCTAGTAGATTTTCTATGCTCTAGAAAGATACTCAGATACTGAAGTCGAGTTCTATTTTCTAAAATAATCCATATGAATTCACTGTCGACATCGATTTTTTTTCATTGCAAAATGAAAACTTAAACAACTATTTCAATTGAATATCATATTTCCAAAAAATTTGAAGACGGCTCAAGAATTTGTATGGATATCTCTAGAATATCTCTCTTTATTCTTTATGATGTATCTTTAGTTTACAGCTTAAGTAAAATTTCTCATCTTCGTTTGGCTTTTAACTGCTTTACTCACAGAAGAAGCTACAATAGCGCTTCCGACTCTCAAAATGTTTCCAATTTCTTTCTTCCACCGAAGATATTTATTAGATCCTGATTGACATAATAAATACATGGATGGTACAAATTCTGTGTACTTTCGTTAGAATACTCTCAATTCAAGAATGTAATAATTCGCGAACCTTTCTGAAAGAACGTCTCTCACTTCAAATAATTGAACGAGCTCCTCGTCGGTCGTCGGCGCCACTTTCGCCTCGTCGCTTCTCTAAATACATCACACATTCCAGTACGAAAAACGAAGACGCTTTTTGTCGTATTCTACAACGATTGACCCAAGAACATTTCTATCAATCAAACTTCTGATTCGACTGTTTGACATTTATTAATCACTGGAAAATTGCATCCAAACCCTTCAAAGCCAAAAAATCGGATATTTCGTTCCTGATTGATAGATTTTCTGGCCAATGGGAGGTCGAATAAGAAAAGCAAATTTCAGACAGACTCATCTCGTCCCCAATAACATATAGAAAAGTTTCACCGAACCGTCTAAAAACGCGAAAAATAAGAAAGCTCGTTTCTAATTGGCCGGTTTGCCGACCGATGAAAGTTCGAATAAAAAAATCCAACCTCGAATTTGGATTCCTGACCCTTGATAACCTATAGCAAAGTCAAATCAGAATGGTCGAAAACCGAAAAATAGGAAAGCTTGTTTCTGATATGCTTCGACGAACAGACAGACAAACATACATAAATTTTTCAAATGTAAGACCCTTTTTGTTAGAAAAAGGAATTATTCAATTCGATTCTTGTGCGTATATATATATATATATCTTTTTTTCTCTCAAGTCTTCGTTTTCGTTCTTTTCTTTTTTTGTTGTTATTTTCTTTTCTTGTCTTTTCATCTTGTCTTATGGCATCATCAATTCAAACTTCTATATCCTTTTCTAACAGATGTTTCACCACAGCTGGAAAAAAGTATATTAATGCAATATTTCTGAAAACTCCGTACCCGACGGACACTGAATTCAATCAAATTTCGAAGAACACTGGTTGTTCTATACTAACATTGAATGTAAAATAGTCATAGACTTTTTTAATCCCTTTCTCATATTTCTTTTTATCTGTAGAGGAAATTCAGCAACTTGTAGCATATAGTAAAGAAAACAACCACTATTTTATTAGTCACTACGTCGATTACAACAGTCACTGCTGCACAGTTGCCTTCAATACAAGAAGAGGTTGTCAGGTGGCTTTCTCGGCGCAAGGCAAAAGCATAAACAACTGAAATCTTTCGTAAAAAAAATTTGCTCGTGACCGATAAACGAGAGTCACATTGATAGCTTGTTGACTGTAGCTAAACTACCGTATATGTACAACAGAGGCCTCAACAGACTGTTAGCCCTGCCTGCCTGCTTGGTTCAGGCACAGACCATAATTTTCAAGCTTGCCACAGGCCAGACAGGCCAGACAGGCTTATTAAAATATACTGGCCGCCTGTCCATCATGTTTTTGGTAATTTTCAATAAAAATTTTATCCTTGATCAGAAAACGTAGTTATTGATAAATAAATTTAAGAGTGTGTGTCGCTAGAGAAAGAGGAACAATTTATTTAATACTGATTGGATAGATTTATGAGTAATTAATAATAGCGAATCACATGACATTATCCACTAGTCATTATTTATTTATTTATTTATTTTGTTTCTTCGTTTTGTTGAATGAGTTCTGAGTATTTTTAATCGCTATTTTTGTTATTTTTAGATAAATATTTTCTTGAGCCTTGTGTTTCATTGCTTAAAATTTATATTAAATCGATTATTCTTACATTTCATCAATTATTCTTATTCTTCATGGATTAATATTTATATTACTGAACAATGTCTGATATTGATATATTGTCTTCATATGATTCAGTTTCATCTACATCAAGCTCAAATGTAACTCAACAGTATTCAGCATCATCAATTGAAAATCTTTTAAAACAAAAAGATGATTTCAAACAATTTATCGTTATCAAGAATGATCAAAAAAATGTTTCATCACTTGCTTGGTCAACATTTGGTTTTCCTGCTAAGCGTGCAGAAGATGGTTCTCATCAACGAATAATTGGTTTTGCAAGTTGCTTCAATTGTAAAGATACTTATTCATTTCAATCTGGTGGTAGTGGGAGCACTAAGCATTTGCTAAGACATATATGCTCAAAAAAATCATTATTATCATCAGAAAATAATCAAGAAGGTCTAATAGATAAATTCATCAAGTCGAAAAAGTCAACATCACTTAAATTAACTGCACAAGATCGTACAACAATTCGAGATGAATTCACAAAATGGATATGTTCATCAATTCGTCCATTCAACATTATTTCTGATCCAGGATTAAAAACAACTTTAAAAACAATTATTGATATTTGTGAGTTATTTAGTGTGTTTAGATTCAAATGATTGTTTCGATGTTTTTAGGTCAAAAATATCATCGATTAATCGATATTGAAGATATACTTGTAGCACCAACAACAATTTCTTATAATGTTAATCGATTAGCTGATCATTACAGGTCTTTGGCACGACCTATATTAATTGAACCAGCTGAAGCTGGTGTTTTAACAATCTGTCCAGATCTATGGACCGACAGTTTAAAAAAATTAATTATTTAGGTTTAACAGTTTATTTTGTAACATCAAATTATGAATTAATTTCATTCGATTTATGCTGTTCCTGGTACGATGAGGTAGATAAAACAGGAGAATCTGTACTTCAGGTAAGTAAAATGATCAAAAGCGAGAAAAATACCTTCAAGAATTTTTTCTAGGCTTTACGAAAACCAATGGATAGTTTTGGTTTATTACCATACATGGACAGTTATCGGATATCATTTACCAGCGACAGAGGCTCGAACATATTGAAGGCTCTGAAATGTGAGTTGTTTAAAATACTTCTGTTGTTAGTATTAAAATTTGCATTATTTAGGATATCCGGTGATTCATTGCTTCGCACATTGTATCAATAATATATAAAAGTTGACTTTTTATCACAATCAACAAAAACAAGCGAAAAAAATCAACAAGGCATCAACAACACCAGGAAAAAAACAACAACAAAAAACTGGAATATATTTGTGATAGTTCATCGGATAGCTCGTCATCTGATGATGATTCAACGACACCATCTCCGTCTAAATATACTGAAGCAAATACACTATTATCAGATTTACCATCCAAATCAAAAGAAATTTAAAATACAATCTCAACATGTAAAAAGCTTGTCAAACATATAAAAGTAGTGAGTAAAACAACCAACACAACAAAATGATTTATTTTTTTTATAAAAAATTCTGTCATTTAGAAAGGTTTAAAAAAAGATATAGAAGAACTTGGTGGTATTGCCTCAAAAACAAGAATGTATAGTTAGATGGTTATCGATGTCGAACATGCTAGAATCGATCGGTGCTTCAATTGAACATGTTCGATCGATATTATCATCAAAATCATCAAAGAATGAATGTTCCTTTAAATTAAATAATATTAATACTGATGCATTAAAAGATTTAATTTGTTTATTAAGTGAATTTAACAATGTATCTATATTAGTTCACACAGGAACTCGTCCGTCTTTACATTTGGCTTATATTTGTGTTAATAAACTTGAACATCATCTACATGGAACTGATGTTGATAAAGAAGGTGAAATGATTTGTATCGATGATCGTCATGAAGGTAATGTCGAACGATGAATAAAAGATGTTATTTGTAATTATTATCATTTTAGGTACCGATTTCTTTCGAAAACGTCTTATTCAATTATTAAAATCTAAGGTTACATTCGATGAAAAACATCTTGCAGCAGCTGTTCTTCATCCTCTTTACAGAAAATTATCATTCACCACCAAGTATTCCAAAAATATTGCTCATTTATATATTCGTGAACAATTAAATGATATATTAGGATTACATCAACAGCATTTCACAACAAATTCCTAACCTTTAAAGAAAAACATAAGTCTATGGAAGATCAGTTTGCCGATCTTGATGATAATAATAGTTGTGAAGGTAATTCAACACCAACAACAACAATTAACAATGATGAGCTTGAAAAATATTTACGAATGAATATCGACAATGTTTATAAACAGCCAAATCCACGACCATTTTGGCGTGATCATGAAAATAAATTCCCTGGTTTAGCTTTACTTGCTCGTCGTCTGTTCTCTATTCCGGTAATATCAGCCGGAGTAGAGCAACAATTCTCTTCTGCTGGTTTAACAATCAGTGAACGTCGTTCCTCGCTTGATCCAGATACTGTAAACGACATTCTTTTCGTCAGATCTGTACAAACTCTGCTTGAATCGAAACCAGACTATTTTTCTAAATAATAGTATATTTTTTGTATACCTGTTCTCTACTTAAACATAATATGAAAATTAATAATTGTTATATCTAATCATTTCATTTCTATTCGCATGACTTTTTTTTATCAACTCCTGATGCCTGTTTCACAGTTTTGTTTAATTATCATATATTATTAGTATAGAAAAGTCTAGACAGGCTTCGACAGGCAGGCCAGGCCTACATAAAGCTGGCCTGTTGAGACCTCTGCACCGAAGGTTCAAACAGGTTGGTTTAAGTAGGCAGGCAGCCTGCTTATAATGTTTTTTTCTAAATTTTCAATAAAGCACTCCATTTTTTGAACAGAAAATGTAGATATTAAAATATAATATGGAAAATCTTTGTCCTGGAACATGAAAAATAACTCTTTTATCAGTTGACTCAGCACAATCATGACTATTAATAGATTGGAACTACATTGTTCATTATTCATTTATTTATTTAGTTTTTTTATCTATTTCGGTAAGTTATTGTTCACAGTTTTTAATTGGTTATTATTAAAGTTTTACATAGAGCGTTTACGAAGTCTTATGTTTCGGATTCATATTTATACTGTTGTAATACGGTCATACTAGTATTTTCTTTTCTGTCTTTACCCAACAGTTGCATACTGCATTAAGCTAACAGACCTATGTTATTTTGATATCTGTAACTTCCTTGTCTTCTTATGAAGACAGTTTTTTTTCACTTTCATTCAATTCTTATCCTAATATTAGTATGTAAAAAAGGTACACAGACTTCAATAGGCAGGCCAGGCCTACGAAAAGTAGGTCTTTTGGGACTTCTGTTTTGTACTCTCCTCTTTTACTTCAGGAAATTCTAATGAAATGACTGAATTACAATTTGGAGACAGTAATGTCCATCGACGAAAAAATGTAGCCGATCATACTAATGGTCTGCGCGTTATTGGAGCTGGATTACCACGGACAGGTACGTCTTCATTGAAGAATGCTCTCGAAATACTTGGTTTTGGTCCGTGTCATCATATGACCGAATTACTGAAAAACCCTGAACAAAGTAAAATATTCCTACAGATATTTGATGGTTATGAAGCAGATTTTCGCGAATTGCCGAAAGAATACTGATCATCAGTTGATGTTCCAACGGCCTTATTTTACGAAAAACTTCATCACCTCTATCCTCAAGCAAAACTAATACTTACCGTACGGGATAGCAATGAACAATGGTTTGAATGTTTCAACAATTCGATTGCACCTTTATGGTTAGATAATTTCTTCTTTATTACCGTTTATCGTCTTCGAAACTTACGCTGGTTATCCATAGTTGCCAGGAAGATAGCTAAGAAATGGATAACTGAATATGGCAGCATAGGACCTCACATTCATGAATTACATAATGCTCAAGTGATACAGGAAAACAAATCAGAAGATTTACTCGTATTTAATGTGAAAGAAGGATGGCTTCCTCAATGTCGATTTCTGAATGTACCAATTCCACAAGATATTCCATTCCCAAATGGAAACGGTCCCGAATATGTTCAAGGCAAACTTCAAAGGGCGAGAATAATAGGATGTTGTACTTGGACCCTTATTGCTGCAGGACTAGCCATTTTAATTTACTTTTTGCCTTCACTCGTTGGTTATTAAAAGTTCAATAATTGTCCTCATATTTTTTGAAATAAAATATTGAGAAAGAACTGCTCATCATCAATAAATGAATGAAGCTGAGTATTATTCAGTAAGATAATAACAATAAAAACCATTAAAACTTGTAAGTGACGCGTACTAATATTTTTCAAAATCAGTCAAACGATATGGGTATGGGACGGGAGTGAGTGGATTTGGGTATGAGCATGAAGTATGGATGTGGGTAGTCGTTTGTTGTATATATATAGCCTCATATTACCTACGCTGACGCCCACACACACCCACTTTGCACACATATGTCATAGAACCATTTCAGGTCTAATCGCTTATATTAGACAAAAATTTAGTAATGCAAATTAGTATTATATCGAGATGTTCGAGAAAGACTAATTTTCATATTTTACTTGAAATCGAAATAAATCTGTTAATGTTTAAAGAGAGTCTAGCAGAATTTCTGATAGAAAATGATCTTACATATCTGGTGACGAGTTTGAATGCTGACGAAATTCACTAATAGATTTAAATTGATAGTTGTTCGTCAGGCAAAAAATATCTGAAGAAGTTTAACGTATAATGCACACAATAGTACTGCATACTACCTTTGTGGAAACACCTGATGTATTCATGAGGCAAGGACAGAAATGAAGACTCCACTATGTGAACAAGATTAAAAATTTTAGTTGAACATGCCCTCAGTTTTGCTCTACTCTCCTTTTTTCATAACTAATATGCATATAATTAGATTATAAAATCATATAAGTATATCAAGGTGGATATTCGATATAGTTTTCTAGATTTATTAGACTGGTGCATGAATAAATGGAAGGTTGCCACTGTGTTTGCCGTACAAAATATATGCTAAAATCGTTTCAATAAAGAGATAAACTTCTAACAATAACTACAAGAGAAAAAAGAACGAAATCGACTAAACAACATGTAAGAGGTAAGAGATAAGAGATAAGAAATGTATCTTTGCATTTTTCTTTGTATAATCGCTAGTTTTTGATGACCGAAAGACGTGTAAAATGTCTTCTGTAGACATACAACAATATTTAATTTGTCCACTAACATTGCAATTATTCAATGATCCAGTTACAGCTGAAGATGGTCATACGTATGAAAGGAAAGCAATAACTGAATGGATTACTCAACATGACACAAGCCCAGTTACAAAGAAATTTTTAAGTATCAATCGATTAACACCAAACTGTGCAATTAAGGATGCTGTCGAAACTTTTGAACGACAACAGGCACAACGTAATATACAATCAGATGTATCTATCGCTGATGCCAATGCGAATGGTTAGTGATAATAGTGCTGTAAAATTGCTATCTATGATATGACCAATCTTATTTATTCTATTTCGTCCTAGCTGGCAAGGGTCAAAGCTTGGAAGTGTTGGATGTTCTCTGTCGTTACTGTGGATTAATACAACAATTCAGTAGCATAAAAGAACATCAGGTAAACTTCCATTCACTAAAGCTAAATTGTAGAGACTGCTAGAAAAACGCTCACTTTCTGTTTAGTTACGATGTTCATCGAATTCTGAAAATATTGAGCCATTTGAAATAGCGGATGATGAAGCTATGTTTGCAACATCTCAACAAACATCTTCTAGCAAGAAACCTTTTCAGTATAAAAAGATATTTAGCTTTATTAATCCGCTGGTACGTCGGACAGGCAATTCAACAACTACTGAAGAACGTAATCAAACCCCGATCCTAATTAACGCAGACGATCAAATACAGACCGAATTATCGAAAGAGCGCCGATTTTCATTGTTGAAAAACTGTAAAATAAAATATTATTTGTTCATTCTCGTGACTCTCATATTAGCGACTATCGCAATCACATTCATAATTTATTATGTAAAATGTAAAGAACAAAAGCCTCCAATAGGTCAGTTCTCTTTTTACTTATCTCATGCATTCATAGCTTTGCAAAATGAAGAAATAAAAGTGAAAGTTTGTTTTCTTTCTGTTTCGCAGCAGCATCGCTGTCATCCATATCGACTTCAATGATAACGGCTACTTTAACAATGGCCTCGACTTCAACGATGACCACTATTTCAACAGTGGTCTCGACTTCAACGATGACCACTACTTCAACAATGGCTCCTACTGCAACAATAAGTTCGACTTCAACGGTGATCTCTACTTTAACGATGGTTCCAACTTCGAGTTCGACTTTGAGTTCTACTCCTCAAATGCCATGTGCTTCTGCTGAATGGAGTTCAACTGGAATTACAATTACTTCAGACCTATCTAGTCCATATGATATTGCTATTGACAGTCGAGATAATATAATCGTTGCGGATACTGAAAACCATCGTTTACAAAAGTATTTTACTAATGGAACAAATATGACACTGTTAACAGACATCAAAGCACTTAGTATATTTATTGACAAGTTTGATAATATCTATGTTACAGATGCATTTGATGATGAAGTTAGGATACTGAGTTCTAATGGTGAATTAATAACAATAATTGATGGAAGTGAAATTTCAGGCAGCGTAGTGAATCACCTAGTTCTTAATGGTCAACCAGGCCTTTATGTTGATACAAATAGCACCGTATATATTTCAGATACTGGTAATCATCGAGTTATCAAATACTATCAAAATTCAACGTCGGGTATTGTCGTAGCTGGTGGTAAAGGGCAAGGTCCTGAATTAAATCAATTGAATACTCCATATGGCATTTATGTCGATGAAATCAATGAAATTGGTGCAATTTATATTTGTGATTTACAAAATCATCGAATTCAAAAATGGCTTAAGGGTGCTAATGAAGGAATAACTGTAGTTGCCAATGCCGATCAGCTACATTCTCCAGTTTCAATTCTTTTACAGTCAACAGCAAATCGAACGATCATGCTTATATCGAGTTTCTCTGCTAATCGTGTTTTTAAATGGATACCATATGAACAAGAAGCTGAATCTATTATTGCTGGAATCGGTGGTTTTGGTACTGAAGTAAATCAGCTTGATGCACCAAGAGGTATTAAATTCGATAAATATTGGAATTTATACGTCGCCGATGATGGCAATAATAGAATACAAAAGTTTCTGTTTAATACTTCTTCATGTGAAAATAGTGATTAAAAACAAATCTTCCATTAATTATGATTATATTCATTGAAATTAGAAAAAGACTTTTCCTTCCAACGTAAAAATACTACTTTTAGAAAGCAACCGATTTCGTTAACCTGTATCGTCAGATATGTTAAGGCTCATCATGTTTGTTATTGTTTCAAGTTTAGACTCATCCTTTCGTGTTTAATATTCAATAATATCTCTCTCTCTCGCATTAGTGAAAATCAGCGACCAGCACAGAAGAGTGCTATTGTTGTTCACTAAACCTTAATCATTTCAATGATCAACACTCACGACAATATCTCTTATGCTCAAGCGTGATTTACAAAAAGCAAATAAACTTTTACTTTTTGCTTCTCTATTGACAGTAAAATTATAAAGCAGAAATTCTGACGTGGATTTAAGTTTTCTTTACTTGTGCAGTTGATTGGACAGAAACATTATTGCTTTTTGGCTGTGCATCGTACTTCAGCCGATAGGCAAAAATGTCGAAAGCGAACATGAGGAACTATGCAGGAATATAACACTGAGGATTAGTGTCCTACAACCCGGTCCGGTACTCGGCACCCGGCCGGACCTGGAGCATGGGTTCAGGTACAGACTTGCTAGCACGGTTCGGGCGTCAGGTATAAAAAAATGTCGGTTCATGTTCGGATATGACGTTCTATCGTATGGCTGGCTAATGACAGTTCGAATATAAGTGAAAATTTCCAATATACGTTCTTTTTTTAGGCAAATCCAAAAGACGAATTTTTTTTTCAATTTGAATTTTCGAACTGAGACAAGGCTGTCATATAACTATGGTAAAAGAGCAAATGAAAAAATTTTATTCATATGATAGTTTAAAACTCTGTTTCAAAGAAATTCCCATGTATGTTTAGGAAAAAAAGGAAAAGCTACAGTTGATCTGAATCACAGCTTATAACAAAAACTGATTGATGACGAATTTGGTAATAACGAAAATAAATGAAGATTTTTAGAAGCTGCAAGAACCTCGCTACAGAAGACGTATGCGGCTACTAGGAATCACTAGTTAAAACTTGCTAGCCTTGATTTACTGGGTTGTAATTTTTTCAAATCTCGAAATGAAGATGAATGTTACTGTGTAGACAGAAGCGTGCACGGGTTGCGGTTCTTCGGAGGGAAACGCTTCTCGTCCCCACGCCGCGATGCGGATATAAGTGGACTATAATTTAGATAAACGCGCTCCTCTCTAATGAGTATTCACTATGGCAGATTTCCGATATCGAATGCATAATAAGGCAATGAAAGATCAACCCGCTAAACGGGTATGTCTGTCCTTTCAGGCGTCAATCATTCAATAGTTAAATTCCAGTTACAGGCTCCACATGTATGTTACGGTTCAGATAAAATGTTATCTGTTGCTTTTTTTTCGTAGTTAAATGGAATCCTTGTCTCAATTCGAATATTCGAATTCGAAAAAATTTCATCTTTTGCTTTTTTGCTGTAATAACATGAAAAACTTTTTTTCATTTTCGGAGTGACATCAAGCAGTTGAAGCTCCATCTATATTCGAACTCGAATTAGGTATTTCATCGTTCTACCCGGAGGGTGAGTATGAGTGTTTGTCGTCTTTCGATATTCCTCATCAACCCTCTTCCATGACCACATCCTTATTCACAACCACAATCACACACTCACACTCTTCTGGGTATTTTTGATGATAGATTTAGCTTAATACATTGAAATAGAAATGAAATTGAAAAACGAATTTAATTTCTATGAATTATATAATAGTTGGAAAAATTTTAATAGAGCTTTTGGGTTCCACCGACTCATCACCAGTATTAATTTAACATGATGTTGTATTTGTGCCTATTGAACTTCACAATGAAAATAAGGGTGTGGGTGTGAGTGTGGGTAGATGTGGGTGTGGGTGTGGGTGTATGGGTGGTGTGGGTGTGGGTGTGGGTGTGGGTGTGGGTGTATGGGTGGTGTGGGTGTGGGTGTGGGTGTGGGTGAGTCTTTCCTTAACCCACACCCACAACCACACCACACCCACACCCACACCACACCCACACTCACACCCACACCCACACACCACATCCACACCCACGCACCCACACACCCACACCCCACATCCACACCCACATCCCACAAACACACCCACACCCTCAAGTTGCCCATGGCGAAAATCTAGTATTTTCCGAATATCTCGGACTCGGTTTGCGCTATCGGGAATCTGAATACACCATTCGATAGAGCTCATCGAGTTGTACTTGGAACATGAATGGAACGCTTGGAACATGGTCCTGGACGAATCTTGGCGGGTTTTACTTGAATCTTGTGCTAACTTCACATACGTATTATGAATACCAAACGTCATTTTGATTATATCGATTATTAGATCAAGAATTTATTTCTTGAAAATTTAGATCAGCCTACTGCTTTCGTTATTCTTGTCTCCTTAATTTTTTCTCATTTATCTTGATAAAGATAAGAGTAGTAAAAATCATATGCCTTGTGTTTCTCTTTCTTTACTTACACAAAATATTTGTTTTTTATTTTGTTTCAAAAGATTTTTGATTACTTAACAATACCTGTGCACGTACTGGCCACTAGTGGCAGGTTTCAAAAAATATCACGACTCGATCATAACAAGCACGGACTATACAGTTACATTGACACAATGTCAAACTATTTTATCCATGTTTTGTTGGAATTGTCAAGAACAAATAGATATTTGTCTAAAGTAGATTTAATGAATAAATTTTTTGGAAAACGCAATTAAAAATAATTATTGAATTGTTAAAACGAGAACTTTGCCATCCTCACACTCGCTTCCTCTCGCACCCATCTCCACACCAATACTGACAACCTTTTTTGGTCAAATCTATTCTATACATGGACTCTCTCTCAAATCACTACTTTGTAGTTCACAGGTTCTGACTCTATCTTTCAATTCGATTTCATCAAAAGCTCGCATTTCTATTTTCTGGTAAAGATAAGTCAATAACAGCTTGTTTGGTGCATTAGGAATACAATAGGCAATCTAAACCTCAGATTTATAGTGACACTACAATATAGAGTGCATGTGGATGAAGGTATCTGTGTGCGATGGGTGTGGGGATGAATGAAGGCCAGATTGAAACCCACAGGCAAAAAATGTATATAGTCATATTATATGAGCCTGATTTATTGAATCAATAGTCAGTTTGTTCTATATTTAAAGACTTGAATTAAAGTAAAATTTCTTGAAGAATCTTATGATGATAAAATAAAAAACCACTTAAAAGTTATCGAGAACCATTTTTGTTCAAAACGTTGGTAAATATTCTCCGACAACTGATGAAGAGATCAATACATCGTACTTTTATTGTCACCCGGGAGATGTTGAGATAAAAGTTATTTTAATCTAATATTATCTATCATTCTATCTATGATAAGAAGATCTACTTGAACGATTTAAACATTGTATCACGTGTTCTTAGACGTAGTTTAGATGAAATTATTTAGATAGGATATGATATGTATCAATATATATGTATATAGGTATGTCGAACTTGTGATTGGCTAATAGGTTTCGGTATATTCACTTTCTTCTTTACTAGGAAACAGATGAGAAGAACAATGGTATATACTTTCGGGTGTGAATAAAGAAAGAGAAATCGTTGAAACCTTTATCTCCGGACTCCAATGGAAATATATACACTTACACATATTGTTAAGGATGATCATATATACTTATCGTTTCATAAGAATCAACAATTTATTATTGCTGATTTAGTGCTTCTAATTGTTGCTGTTCGATTTATTCGTTGAATTTTGCGTTTCATATTTTCTGTTTATTGTTGTTGACCAATTTGTTCATCGAGCTTTTTGTGGGTATGGTTGTGGATAGATGGAAATGGGAGTTCATCTCGATATCAACATCCACAATCCACCCAGATCCACTTTGTAACATCTTTTATCATAAAAGATTAATCCCGAGACATAAGACATAGTCATGCGCCTCTTTCTTCATTTCAGTCTTTTATTATTAATGTTTTCACCTACGATTATAAGAAGAAATAGAAATAATTTCGTATAACTTTCACTGCTCTCCCTTATTCATCATCAAATACAATAAAAGATAAAATGTCTTTTTCCTGAGCATCGGACGCAGTGACATCACTTTTGATGACATTGGTATGACGCATGAGATCAAAATTTCACAGCATTCTACTCCGATAAATTCACACATCTTTGCTGTATTTTTATATAATGTATTTATTAAGAATTCTGAAAGACATAAAATAGTGATTAAATATAGAAATAAGACTTTTGAAAGAGGAAAAAAGATATGATAGTGATTTCGGTAAAGTAGAAAGAGAAAAAGATGAACGACGAAATTAAGAATAGGAAAGATAGTAATTAATTAAATATCAATATTGATTAGTGGTCTCATCTAAATTTCCCGTTTGCAATTAAAAATTTACTGTGTAAGTATGTAATGTTATATGAAAGTAGTCGAAGGGTGTGTCAGTGTGGGTGTCTCTTTTCTTCATTCACATCCACAGTCACACCCACACCCACACCCACCCACACCGACCCACCCACCCACACCCCCCCCACAACCCCCAAACAACCCCACCCCAAA